TCACTAAAGGTTATCCAATGCATTGTTTTTCATTGACAACAAAAAACATCTTAAAATCAGGTCTGCGTCCATTCCTCCAGACTGTGTTAAAACACCACCAGGGATGCTGCACTGACACCACCGCTGAAACAGCAGCCAGCGGGGGCAGCGGCCCACTGTTACTACACAGCAGCAGTGCTCAAACTTTCTGGGCTTAGGACCCTTTTAGATTCTTAAAATTCATTGAAGACCCCCAAAGAACTTTTGTTTATGTGAATTATGTCTGCCAATATGAACTGCATTGGAAATTATAACCAGAATTTTTTTAAATGTTTATTCATGTAAGTAACAAGAAATCTATTACATGTTAACATAAATAACCTTTTTAAAAATAACTTTTCCAAAACAAAAATTTAGTGAGGAGAATGGCACTTTTACATTTTTGCAAATCTCTAATTCTGACTTAATCAAAGACAGCTGGATTCCCATATCTGCTTCTGCATTCAATCCCTTTCTGTAAGTTGAAGAAACCTGGCATCACACCATTGTAACTGGAAGAGAGTATTTTAATAGCCTTTTCAAATAACTGGACATTCTTTGATACCACACCAAAACTCCACAAGTGGTAATTTCTTAAAGATTAGTTACAGTACAAAAGCTGAAACCCTATAAATAAACCTTATGTACTCTGCTGCACTAAAATTCATTGATCTACCTCACACTTTAAATGCATCTTTTACCTATGTATTTCATTCAATCAAGATTTGTGGTTTGGAAAATGTGGGTTCACTGAATTATGCATATCTTCCAAATGTTGACATAATATTATAGAATATCAAAAAACCTACATTCATTCATATCATCACCAAGCCAATCAGAAACATTTTTAATTATTGAGAAGCTGTCAAGCTCACAATGGCAGAAACAAGCTTTGCAGAATTCTACTTATTGCTTGAAAGCTCAAATTTTATCACTGGCCACAAACACTGTCAGTTCCTTACAAAAACAGGCTCTCTTACACAAACAGGCTCTCCTCGTTTTCAAGTAAATGCTAAATAGTCAAGAATCCATGGTTCATCACTTGTCCCTTCAGGTAAAAATACAGCTCCAGGAGAAAAGCACTAGTTTAGCTGGCAAATCAAATACATGTGCTCTTCTGAAAACAACCATTCTACTTTTTAGTACACAGTTTTACATGCAGTTCCCATTTATCACAGCATACTTAAAAGATAAACTGTAGGATCAAGAGACTTAACATTTTCTCCGCTTTATCAAGGACTTTTTAAAAAATTGTCTGTGTGTGTGTGTGTGCGTGTGTGTGTGTGCAGTGAAGAAACACGACGACTACCAGGACAACATGGTGTTTCTGCCTTGATTCTTCCTAAGGCAGGAACAGCATTACCCAGCATTGCTTTTGCACCAGTGGTGCAAATGTCAAGGGAATAAAACGACCTAACATTTCCGTACTCTGGAAATAGTTTGGATTTTATGTACTCCCTGAAAGGATCTCAGGGGCCACCCCCTCCCCAGATCACACTCTGAGAATCACTGCTACACAACACTACTATCCACTAAGTCCCAGTTCTCCCTGTTATGACTACATCAAACTACTCCACCAATTCCCTCTTTTTTGTGACAGCCCCACAAATATTTGGAAGAAAAGCTATTGTCTCCTCTAAGTCTTGCTGAATATCTCTTCCAGTAACTTCAACGACATTCTACGAATGGGGTGTGAACGCTAGATCATTGATACTGGTTACTCTCCTTCAAGTCTTTTTATTTTAAGTGTGAAAGCCATAACTGAGCTGATGCAAATAATGATCTGACCATCACAGAGTAAGGCAGAAACTGGAACATAGTTTCCATAGGGCTTTACACTCTGTAGTGATGCAGTGGTTCTCCACAAGGAGATTTTTGCCCCCCTGGGTACATCTGGCAATATCTGGAGACACTTTCGGTTGTCACTTCTGGGGAAATGGGGGGTGGGGTTCCCAAAATCTAGAAGGTAGAGGTCAGGGATGCCGTTATACACCCTATAATACACAAGACAGTCCCCTGCAAGGAATTATCCAGCCCAAAATATCAACAGTACCCACATGAGAAAGCCTGTATTAACAGATCCTAAGACAACATTTTTGGAAGCGTCATCACCATGGCTCTTAAATCATACCAGCCTTTCAAAATTGTACGTGCAAGTACATGTGATTTTTAGACAAAAAATGGACACCTGTTCATAACATTTTGTAATGACCTAAACTTCAATAATCTATTTTGATTTAATCCATTGTGACATGTCACCTAAGGTCTATGCCTCAACCTCACCTATCAACCCAAATTTAACAGGACAGGCATACCAAAAACGAAAGTGGAAGTCAAATACAAAATAGCCTGGAAATCACAGTTCAAAACATCAAAGAAACAAAATTAATGACAGTATGACACCAGAAAACGAAAAACAAAGCAAATTAATAAGGAAAAAGGCCTATTTAACTAGGTAGTCTTTGGTCTTTTTGCTGTTTACTTTAAAAGGACTATAGTACACTTGGGGTTAAAAATGAGAGGGATTCTTATTGGCCTAAACTGGCCACACTGTTCACACTTCAACAAATACACTGGAAAGGCAGTATCTGTGTGCGAATCTGCTGTCTCGACTATCTTCCCTTTTATAAATTTGAACTAACTTCCAAATAATCTGAACTACTTAAGTCTCTAAAGGAAATGTATACCTCCCGTCCTCAAAGAACGCTGAGGAAAAGTAGGTATAAAAGTGCTTTTAATTTCTAGAAAGACACAATTATTTCTTCATTTAAAAGCCTTTTAAGGTACACATTTCCTACCACTGATCAAGCTTTTTTAACACTGACATGATTATTAGAAAGAGAAGTCCCTCTTCAAAAACAGCAATAAAATGAGCTAACACAAAGAGGTCACATGGCATCACTGCAAACATTTAGCTTTATTTTAATTGTTGAACTGCAAAAGGCCACAGAAATCTTGCTTTGCATTTAAGTAAAACTTCCAGCGTCAATTACAAACTTCGCTTGGGGGTTACAAAGAAAACTGGCTCCCTCGTCTCAAGAAGACACTCTTCCACTTCAATCTTCAAAAATGGAAGAAATGCAGTCTCACTATTTAGGCCTCCACACTGCTGTATACACGCAGGGGAAAAAAATGCTGTAATCTACTTTCGATCCCAACAATGAGTTCTCAAATTACATCTCATTCTTTGAAAGACGAAGAAAAAGGAAACTTTTTAAAAACTCTACAAGACAAAAAGAAGTAGAAATGTAGGCCTCACGAGAACAGAAGGCATAGAGGGACTAGCTTTAAGCCTACAATCAGAAAACCGAAAAGCTGCCAGAAGCGACGGAGAGAGAAGGAAGCAGAATGCAATCCGGCTCTCCTATCAAAACAAAACAGGGACAGCACTACGGCGCACGCCGCGTTTCGGAGGGCATCCTGGAAACGGCCCCTTTGCTGACGGGCAAAAGCCCGGGGAGGTCTGAAGCGCGCGTGGGGCTCAAAGAGCGGGGCTCAAAGCTCAAAATCGGCTTTTACTGGTGTTCATGCCAGCTCCGACGTGGAGGTGGGCTAACCCGGCGCGCGATCTGGGCATCTTGGAAACGGGAGGGAGACAGAGACGCGGCAGAAGCAGACCCGGAACTGAAGCCTCGAAACGAGGCGAAAAGGCGCCGAGGGCGACCCCGAGCCCCGTGCGCAGACCCCCGCCGCCGGGCACCGTCTCCCCGCACCCCCTCTTATTTTCGGACGGGGCGGAGAAGCGGGAGCAGGAGGATCGGAGGTTGCCCAGGCTCTTCCGGAAGGGGAAGGCCCCCGGCCCGACGGCCACTGTGCCGGGAAGGGGTGGGGGGAAGCGGGACCCGAGCGCACGGGGAAGCGCGGCTGCGAGCGGGTGAGGAAACAGGAAGAGCCCCCGTCCCGCCCGCCTCCCCCCGGGCCCTGGGCCCGGCTCGCGCGCCCCCACCCCCGCCCCCTCCCCCGACGCCCCCAAGGCCCGCCGGCGTGCGACAGAAAACAGAATACAAATCACTCACAACGGCATCGTCTCCTGCGCCGGCACCGCCCAGTCACTTCCCCCCCGCAACCGCCGCCGCTGCCGCCCTGGGCATGATCCACTGAGGCGGGAGGGAGGGGGGGGCCTGCCTCAGCCCTGGGTCCAACCCCACTCCCGCGCCCGCTCCCGCCGCTTTAAGCGCTTCTCCTCCTTCCCCTTCGTCCTAACATGGCGCCCGAGCGCTACCACAGCAACGTTCTAGAACCGCTGACGCCGCCACGCACGCCGTGCGCGCGCCTGCGCAAAGGCCGCCCGGCGCCGCGAAGCCTCACGGGAAGGGTAGTCCGTGAACCTGCGGCCGTCGGGCGATTTCCGTCCCAATCCAGTCGCGCTTCCGCGGTGGGTGTCAGGTGACCGGTGGGAGCGGCCCAGGAAGCTCCGGGCGGCGCGTTGTCCCTTAAACTGGGGGTGCTCTCGTCGCTGTCGGGAGCGACGCGGCCCGGACGGCGCGAGGAGAGGCCCGGAGCTGTTCTCGCCGCCCGAGGTCGCGGCGGCGGCGCTTCCCCTGGCACGGCGTCTGCGGAGGCGCTTGGAGGGGACGGAAGCACCCACGTGTGCGCGTGTGTCCCCCGAGCGCGGGGCCCAGAACCCGGCCGCTGGGGTCGACGCCTGGGGTTGGAACAAGTTACTCCATCTCTTGGTACTTTTCTACAAAGGGAGGGTTCTGCCTGCTTCCTGGGGTTGCGGCGGCTGTTTAATGCGATTGTGCAGGAAGGATGCTTAGCACCGCCTGGTACAGGGGCGCCGAGATGTTGTTAGGACTCCCTCCTTCCCTCTGGGCTGGTCTCCCGAGACGGGGCTTCTCGGCTCTTTTGTCCACTAATGTATGTACGCAGGCGCTCAAGAAACACTTGCTGAATGAATATATTTGCCGGGTAGGACTGTGATGACAGCGGATTCTTGAACACGAGCTAATTTTGCTCTAACAAATGGTGCGCAGGAACTTACTGGTAAAGCTGTCCTTCAGTAGAAACTTCGATGGCGGTCACCGTTTTAGCAAAGGCTGTTTCGGCCACAGCTTCGCTGAGACTGTCTTTTGCAGCCCCGATCCATCCCTGGGTGGGACCTGGAATTCTGCCTCCCCACCCCCAGCGCAAGTTGGAGGAACAGTGCCCGAGACAGACTCGGATGTTCCTTCGCTCTTCGAATTAGAACGTTCTGAAGTGTCCCACACAAGGTTAATGGAGGGGAGGGGTGGGAAAGAAACAACTATGGGAAAGTTAAAGTTCTAAAGTCTTTAAATATATTAATACAGTCGGCCTCCGTATCCGCGCATGAGGATACCCAGGGGCGGCTAAGGGACTTGAGCATCCGCCTATCTGGGTATCCGCGGGGGTGGCCTGGAACCAATCCCCCGAGGGTACCGGGGCACGACTATGCACTTGTAGATCCTCAGGAAACTTGGCAAAGGATTTCCCTTTTTTTACAGAACATCTGTTGGGACTAGTGTTCCAGAACTAATGGCTCAATGGGAAAAAGCAGAACGTCTAAACCTGCGTTGTCCAATACTGTAGCCGTTTGCCACGCGTGGCTTTTGAGCGCTTGAAATGAGGCTACTCCATTTAAGACGTGCTGTTAAGTGCGAAATACACACGGATTTCAGAGATGTTAGTATGAACAAAAGAATGTGAAATAACTCACTGGTGGTTTTTTATATTGTGTTTTGGATATCGCATTAAAGAAAATATGAAGATTGATTTCACCTCTTTTTACTTTTTAAAATGTGGCTACTAGAAAATTTTAAATTATATATGTGGCTCTCATTTTTGAACAGCACTGATCTAGAGACAGACTTGTATTTGATTCTCAATTCTAATACAGATTCCCTTACCCTCTTGTCATCAAGGTGACTTTGGTTGGGGGCCTAGCAGCAGACCTGTCCTTGAAAGTTTGAAAACCTGAAATCCAGAGAAATCAATAAAATATTAAATATTATAATCAATAAAATATGGTCTTAAAATTTGCCTGTAAATATAGTACTTTATGATGTACTTTACGAATTAAAGAATGGAAACTTCTTGAGCTTGTGGCTGTCGTCTGGCATCTCAGGAGGCAGTGAAGGAGAGAGGGACGTTAAACCCCCATGCTTTCAGTCTACAGATGCTTTACACCATTTTTGTTTCAGCCTTCCCTGGAATGAGGTAGCTGGTAGCACAACTGAAGAATATTTATTTAGTACCTGGAATGTGCTGGGTACCAGGAAGATGGTCAAAAGGAGGATGGAGTCAAGGTAGACTTCACATAGGAGCTTACTTTAGAAATGTCCTGATAGAAAAGTTAGGATTTAGTAAGCGGACAGGAGGAGAAGAGCGTAACAGGTAGAACAATAAAAAAGAAGAAAGAAAAGTGCAAATTACAATTTGGAGAAAGGGAGACTTTTGAAATAGCTAGACCACACGGTATATTGTGGGGAGTGGCGGAAATGAAGCTGGAAAGGTAAGTGAGAGGCAGTTGAGGGGACTTCATTCAACAAATCGGTTATTGTGCACCTGCCATGCACTGCTGAGCTGGGGGTTACTTTCCACTATGACAAATACAGTCGAGATCCCTGACTCACTTAGGTCTTACATTCTAGGGAGGTGGGGGGCAGGTAATAAGCCCATAAACAGACAAGAGAATTACAGATTGTGATAAGAACCAGGAATAAAATAAACCAGGTGATAGAATTATGGGGGAGGTCAACTTTAGATAGGGTGGGCAGACAAGGCCTCTCAGAGGAGCTGACCTCTGAGCTGAGACCTGAAGCCATCCTGAGAGATTTGGATTTTGTCTTTTTCTGAATGGGGGAACCATTGAAAGTTTTAAAACTGGAATGAGATTACATTCCTGTCTTTGGAAGGATCATCCAAAGGGAAGGGAATGAATTGAACCGGGAGAGGTTTTATGGATAGGTGATACTGCTCTTGCCATTGTTCAGGGAAGAGACAATAGAGCTTACGATAAAGGAGTAAAGAAGAGACCAATTCGAGAGATGTACAGGAGACACAGTTAATCCTGGATGTGAGAGAGGAGGGAGAGGAAGAAGACAAAGATGATTCAAACGTAGAGAGGGTGACAGATGGATGGAGATACCAGTAAATGGGAATACCAGAAATAGGAAACGGGAGGCTAAGTGGGTAAACAGTTGAGATCGTGAGAGTGGTTTGCTATGGGTTGATTTTGAAGTGCCAGTGGAACTTTCAGAAATGTCTATTGAGCAATTGAACACATGCTTCAGGAGCTGAGAAGAGAAGTCAGGGCTGGAGATAGAGATTATAAACTCTGAAGGCAAGAAGTGTGTCTTGGAATCATGTTTCAGTTCTGGAAGGGCCTTACCTACTCCCAGCGACTACAATCTAACCCTGCTCACATTTCACAAATGAGTAATGAGCTAGGTGTTCACATATCCCCCAACGTTCAGGACCCAATTAAGGATATAAATTGAGCCAAGGAAAGTGGAGAGTGAGATAACGCCAATTACCAGTGTACTGGTTAAGACAATATGTGTATTGTTAGCCTTGCCTGGCTTGTCCTCAGAGCCCCTGGCCACTCCCTCCAGCCTCTGCCCGTCTCCACTGCTGCAGCCCCTTCTCTGAGCCCTTGCCCCACCCCAGCCTATTTGCTACCAGCTGCTGAGAAGGGGGAAGATGCTTTCTCCTGCTATCTTAAGTACCATTCATGTTGCATTGTCTATACAATGTCATAGTGGGAAGAATTCCTAAAATGGTTCTCTTAGATCCGCAGTGCACTCAAATAAAAAAATGCACAAAAGTATTTTTGAGAGCAGAACCTCTTCATGTTTTGGGAACTACCTGGATTGTGTTTCAGTGTCATTTAGGAGGTGATAATTGGAGATGCTGTGTGATAGAGATTTTTATCCCAATAATAAACTGCAATGATTCATTTGCCTATTAGTGGTGCGTACTTTTTAAAAATTTTCATCGAAAACCGGGTTTCTGAGTCACTAAAGTAAAAATTACATAAGCTCTTTCAGCTAATGACTACTGTACTTTTACAGTACAGCAAATTCCCCTTTTTCAGTACATTCCCCTTTCAGATGTTTGTTAGTTTGTGTTTTGCAGGCTGTGTCTTCTGCCATTTACATGAAAGAAGGAACCACGATAGCGTGTTGATTAGAACTGGCTAGCACCTGTGCCTCCTCTAGTCTCTGCCTCTCGGGCAACAACACAGCCATCTTCCAGGCTCAAGCCAAAACAAGAAGTCAGTGTCCTCGATTCCTTCCTTGCCCTCACTACCCAAATCCAATGTATTATCAAGTCCTACTGATTCCATCCCCTTCTATCTCCTCTGCTCCCACCCTAATCTTAGCCACTGTCTTCTCTAGCTTAGACCATTGCAGTAGCCTGGTACTCCTCTCCCGCTACCATTCCTGCTTTTCTCCAGTCCATTCTCCATGTACAGCAGCTAGACTTGTGGAACTTGCTCTAGATTTTATCACCCCCCTGCATAAACCCAGTTTAAGGGCTTCCCGTTGCTCTTAGACTAAAACCAAACTTGACACTGGCTGACAAGGCCGTGCATGATCTGGCTCTTGATTTTCTCTCCAACTTCATCTCAGACTCTTCCCCTCTCTCGGCTGTGCTTCAACCCTACTGGCCTCTCTTCCTTTCCTTAAACATGCTGAACTCCTTTCCAGCTCAGAGCCCCCAAACTTGTCCCCGTCTGCAGTGCCACCCTAGTTCTTCTGAAGCCTGGCTCATCCTCGGTCTGTCAAAGCTCACTATCACTGCCTCATAGAGGCCTTCCCAGACCACCGTATCTAAACTGTGTTTATTTGCATTGTAGTCCTTATCACATAATCAGAACTTCCCTGTTAATTTTTAATATTATTATTCATTCTATCATCCTCACTGAGCTCCATGAAGGTAGGGACAGTGACTATATTGTTCATACCACTCTAAACCCAAAGCACCTAACAGTGCCTGGCCTATACTGGCACTTAGAGACTTAAGTGGTTTCTGATTCTTTAAAGACAACTTAGATATGTCCCGTAAATTCTGGGACATACAAGCATTCAGTCCATAAAAGGATCATCTCAGATTAACTCCTGGAAGGTAAGGATGCCTATTCATTTATATTAGTTATCTACTGCTGTGTAACAATTTGCCGTAAACTTTAAGCTACTTAAAAACACATATTTATTATCAAATAATTTCTGTGGGTCAGAAATTTGGATATGGCTTAGCTGGGTCCTCTGCTTCAGGGTCTGTCAACAAGCTGCATTCAGGATGTCAGACAGGGCTGGGGTCTCATTCGAAGGTTCCACTGGGAAGAATCCACTTGCACACTTGTGTAAAATTGTTGACAGGATTCAGTTTTTTGAAGCTGTTGGATTGAAGGTGTCAGTGTCTGGCTGGCTGTTTGGTGAGGCCCCTCTCAGTTCCTGGCCACGTGGGCCTCTCCAACATGGCAGCTTGCTCTATCAAAGCACGTCAGTTGAGAGGCCATGGGGTCTGCTAGCATGATCTCATTCACAGTCTTGTACAACCTAAGCTTCGCTGTGTTCCCCTGGATGGAAGCAAATCACAGGTTCGACTCATGCTCGAAGGGTAGAGATTACACAAAGGCATGAACACCAGCAGGCAGAGATCTTGGGGGCCATCTTAGAGTCTGCCTGCCATATCAACTAAAGTTACTTTGTATAATGCTTAATATTGTGCCACACCCAAAGAGACTCTAAAGAAAGAATTTGGATGGCATTTTGATTAAGATCATTTTTTTAGATATAAAAGACTCTAACTTTTTCTAATGGGAATTCAAATTGTATTTTTCTTTCCTGAAGTGGATCTAAGGAACTCCATGGCCATGAACAAGTCTACATTTTATGGAGTTTTTTTTGAGCGTTTTTTTTAATTTTAAGGACATGTGCTGGGCCACCCCTGTGGTGCAGCAGTTAAGTGTGCACGTTCCACTTCAGCGGCCCGGGGTTCGCCGGTTCCGATCCCACGTACGGACATAGCACCGCTTGGCAAGCCATGCTATGATAGGCGTCCCACATAGAAAGTAGAGGAAGATGGGCACGGATATTAGCTCAGGGGGCCAGTCTTCCTCAGCAAAAAGAGGAGGATTGGCAGCAGTTAGCTCAGGGCTAATCTTCCTCAAAAAAAGAAAAAGGACAAGTGGTATACTTTATTATTTTTTAAAGTAGAGTACCAGCTTCGTTTTTTTTTTCTTTGTTGATGAAGATTGGCCCTGAGCTAACATCGGTGCCAATCTTCCTCTATTTTGTATGTGGGACACTGCCACAGCATGGTTTGATGAGTGGTGTGTAGATCTGCACAGGGGATCAGAACCTGTGAACCCCGGCCACCAAAGCAGAGTGCACAAACTTCACCACCATGCCACCGGGCCGGCCCTCCAGCTTCTTCTTAAAAGGTTATTAAAGTACAACTTACACAGTAAAGTGTACAAATATTAAAGCCTTTGGGCTTGTCCACCATCTCTGTAACTCTACTGAGCAGTATGAATCTTTATCTATGTACACATCCGGTTACTCAGGTCTTCTGCCCAGTTTTGAATTGGGTTGTCAGTCTTACTGACTTGGAGGAATTTTTAATATATTCTGAGTCCAAGTCCTCTGTCATATTTTTGTGTTGCAAATATCTTCCTCATTCTGAGGCTTGCCTTTTCACTCTTTTAATGTTGTCTTGAGAAATCTTTGCCCAGCCCAGGAGAATTCCTCTTATGTTTTATAGTATGGAAGCTTTATTATTTTGACTTTCACATTTAGATCTATGATCTATCTCAGAATAATTTTGCATATAGTGTGAAGTAGAGGTCAAGGGTGTTTTAGTGTCTTATTTGTTTGTTTGTTTACTGAGGAAGATTTGCCCTGAGCTACTATCTGTGTCAGTCTTCCTCTATTTTGTGTGTGGGTTGCTGCCACAGCGTGGCTGCCAGTGAGTGGTGTAGGTCCACACCCAGGAACTGAACCTGGGTCGCTGAAGCAAGTGCACTGACCTTAACCACTAGGCCACAGGGCTGGCCTCTGTTTGTTTTTAATATAAGGATCTTCAACTAACCTGCATCATTTTTTTTTTTGAGGGAGATTAGCTCTGAGCTAATTGCTGCCAATCCTCCTCTTTCTTATTTTTATTTTTTGCTGAGGAAGACTGGCCCCGAGCTAACATCCATGCCCATCTTCCTCTACTTTATATGTGGGACGCCTACCACAGCATGGCATGCCAAGCAGTGCCATGTCCACACCCAGGATCCAAACCGGCAAACCCCTGGCTGCTCAAGTGGAACATGGGAACTTAACAGCTGTGCCACCAGGCTGGCCCCTGCATCATTTATTGAAAAGACCATACTTTCCTCATTCAATTGCAATGATGCCTTTGTTGTAAATCAAGTGATTGTAAATATGTAGATTTGTTTCTGGAATCTTTGTTCTGTTGCATTAATTTATATGTCTGTCTTTTTTTTTACAGATTGACACCTGAGCTAACAACTGTCGCCAATCTTTTTGTCTTCCTGCATTTTCTCCCCAAATCCCCCCAGTACATAGTTGAATATTTTAGTTGTGGGTCCTTCTAGTTGTGGCATGTGGGACACTGCCTCAGCACGGCCTGATCAGCAGTGCCATGTCCGCACCCAGGATCCGAACCAGGAAACCCTGGGCCGCCGAAGCGGAGCGTGCGAACTTAACCACTTGGCCACAGGGCCGGCCCCTATGTGTCTGTCTGAATTGCCGTAGCTTTATGATAAGTCTTGATATCTGGAGAGTGAAGTCCCCCAGGTTTGTTGTTCTTCCAGGTCGTCTGGACTATTCTAGGTCCTTTGCATTATCATATAGATTTCAGAATCAGATGATTAATTTCTACCAAAAAGAAAAAGAGAGAAAGAGAGAAAGAAAAGAAATACACTGGGATTTTGATTGGGATTGCACTGACTCTACCACTCATGTTGGGGCAGAATGCAAGTATTAACAATATTGAGCTTTACAAGCCATTAATACGGTATATCTCTCCATTTATTTCATTTTTGATTACTATCAGCAGTGTTCTGTAATTTTCAGTGTAGAGGTCTTACACGTCTTTCTTAGATTGTCCCTAGCTATTTTCTTGTAAATGATACCAGCTTTTTTATGTAATATAGGAATATACTTATCCAAAATATAGGTATATATAATAATATGTCTATCCAAATTATAGGTATATAGAGAGGATGCTTATATGTGACTGGCCTACTCAGATTTGCGGAGTAGAAATTGCTTTCAGAGAGCTTAACAGTAAAATGACACTTAACAGATTAAACCAAAAATATGAAAAGTCACTTTAAAGAGAGGAAATGCCTCCTAACCTCTGAAGACCTTAAAGAGCGAATGTATTAATGTATCTGAAGAGAGACTGTGTCCAGGAGAGTCACAGAGGTAAAAACTGTCACTGCCCATCCCAATGTCTGGGAAAGTGCACCTTGTCAGGAAGGACCAGAGCAGGCGGCCAGGAGAGCAGTGATGGCTATATCAAGCTGGCTGAGGCTAATGCCTTGTCCTGGTTTTACATTCACTGAGCACTTGGCTTCTCACATAACCTGCTTCCAAGAAGAGCGTGTCCTGGTGGAGTGGCTGCAAGGATCTGCTCACTCAACAATCGTGTTTCTCATCGTAAACAAATGGCTACTCTGTCTCTCCACTGGTCTCTCAGGAGATTCGTTAAGACAAGTCAGCATCCCAGGGCCTTATCTGTCCTTAGACGCTGCTGAGATCACGCTTCTTAATTTGCATGGCTGAGGGCTAGACTCCATAGCGAACTTGCCAAAATGAATACCACTTAGTGAAGCATCTTGGTGACCCCTGGAGTTATTAAGTGTCCCATCACAGCCATACAGAGATGTAAATACATTATGGACTTTGTTGAATGACTGGAGATTTGAATTAGTCATTAAAAAAAAAACGAACAAACATAGCTGTGTAACAAAATTTCAGCTAAGTAGCTTTCATTCACTAATATTTATTGCACTTCTACCATGGGCTATGCTCTTTTTCAGTCTGTAGAGATACAGAAAAAAAAAAAAAAATCCCTGTCTTCATGGAGCTTACATTTTAGCGAGGGAGACAGACAATAAACACATAGCCATATTAAATGATGTCAAGTGTGAGCAGAGCAAATGAACACAGTGCAGGGGCTGGCCCCATGGCCGAGTGGTTAAGTTCGCGTGCTCCGCTGCAGGCGGCCCAGTGTTTCGTTGGTTCGAATCCTGGGCGCGGACATGGCACTGCTCATCAAACCACGCTGAGGCAGCGTCCCACATACCACAGCTAGAAGGACCCACAACGAAGAATATACAACTATGTACCGGGAGGCTTTGGGGAGAAAAAGGAAATAAAATAAAATAAAATAAAATAAAATCTTTAAAAAAAAGGAACACAGTGCAGTGTCATGGAGAGGACCATCTGGGGAGGCCTCTTGGGGGAGGTGATATTTGAGCCATGGATAAAGTAAGATAGAGCCACATGGATATGTGTGGGTGGCATATTCCAGGCAAAGGCCCCCAAACAGAGTGTACTTGGCAATGAAGAGTGAAGCGAGGGGAGCAGTGAGGTCATGAGGGGTCAGACTGCACTGGGCCTCCAACGCCCGCGTCAGGACTTTGCCTTTCACTCTATGTGGGACGGGAAAGCTTTGGAGGGCTTTTGGCAGGTCTGGCTTCTGTTTAAAGAAAATTCTCCTGTTGATATGTTGAGAGTAGTAGTCACAGAAAGGAGCAGGCTAAGTGACAAGGCGACAGCAGCAATCCAGGTAGGAAATGCTGGTGTCTTGGGCCAGGATAGTAGTGGTGGAGGGGTGCGAAGCAGACAGACGCAGGATATGTTTTGGAAGTTGGGCCATTATGATGCACTGACGAACTGAATATGGGGTAAGAGAAAAAGAAAAGAGTCAGGGATGCTCCCAAGGTTTTGGGCCTGAGAAACCGGAAGGATGGAGTTGCCAGTACCTGAGACGGGAAGATTGGAGAGCAGCAGGTGGAAGGGTGGGAGGAGAGTGATCAGGAACGGGATTGGCCGTGCTAAAGATTGAGGAGCCTATTAGACATTCAGGTGGAGGGGAGAGAGGGTTTCAAGGAGGAAACAATAAAATGCGTCAGCTGATCAGAGAGGCCAAGTAAGATGAGGCCTGAGAACTGACATTGGATCTGGCAATGTGGAGGTCCTTGGTAACCTTGCTCTAAAGGGGACCAGAATATTGGGACCATGGCTGGAGGCGGATGAGGAGGTCTAGGAAGGTTTTTGCATTTTAATTGGTTTTTGTCTCATTTTATTTTGAAGTATGGGAGCTAATACATCAAGTTTGAAGCTAAGGGTGGTGATCCAGAAGAGAGGGGACAATTATAGAAGCAGAATTGGATTATGTGATAAGGGATGGGATCCAGGGCACAGGTCGGGAGTTGATCTCAGATGGGAGTACGGACCGTTCTCCTCTGTCGCCGAAGGGAAAGCAGAGGTAGGTTTGCAGTGGGAGGATGAAGAAGTTCTCTTTTGATTGCTTGAGTTTTCTCAGTGAACAAAGAAGTAAGGTCATGAAATGTAAACATCGTGAAGGCATGAAGAGATAACTATTATAAAGACTAATGACTTCAAAGTGTTGAAAATGTATTCACTTTATTTAGTATTTTCAGTTAAAATAGAAGGGTCAAAAATAGTGCAGTAAAGCAAAAGAAGACATAGGTAAATTGGACTTTATCAAAATTAAAAGCTTTTGTGCATTAGACACTATCAAGAGAGTAAAAAGACAAGCCACAGAATGGGAGAAAATACTTGCAAATCGTTTTTCTGATAAAGGTCTTATATCCAGAATATAAAAAGAATGTTTACAATTCAATATCAAAAAGACAAACAACCCAAATAAAAAGTAAGCAAAGGACTGGAATATAGATTTCTCCAAAGAAGACATATAAATGGCCAGCAAGCATATGAAAAGATGCCCAGTCACAATGTAATACCACTTCACACCCACTAGCATCACCATCAAACACACACACACGCACACAAAACACTAAGTGTTGGCAAAGACGCAGAGAAATTGGAATCCTCATACATTGCTGATGGGAATGTAAAATGACACAGCCACTATGGAAGACAGTTTCGCAGTTCCCAACATGTTAAACATAGAATTACCATATGACAGCATTTCCACTCCTAGGCACCTACCCAAAAGAAGTGACCACAGGGGTTCAGACAAGAACTTGGAAACAAATGGTCATAACAGCTCTATTCACAATAGCTAAAAGGCGGAAACAACCCAAATTGCCATCAACAAATGAATGATTAAACAAAGTGTGGTCTATCCATACAACGCAATATGATTCGGCCAAAAAGAGCAAGGAAGTAGTACTGACACATGCTACAACATGAATGGACCCGGCAAACACATGAAGTCAAAGGAGCCAGACACAAAAGGCCACATATCATATGATCACACTTACAGAAAATATCCGGAATAGACAAATCCATAGACACAGAAAGCAGATTAGTGACTGCTGGGAGCTTTGGGGACAAGGATAACGGGGAGTAACTGCTTAATGGGTGCAGGGTTTCCATTTGGGGTGATGAAAGAGTTCCGGAGCTAGATAGAGGTGAGGCGTGGACAACATCATGAATGTACTCAGTGCTTTAAAATGGTTGCAATGGTAAATTTCTGCTGCGCGTATTTTGCCACAATAAAAAAAATAGTGCAATTATATTCAGATTACATTATTTAAAGGGATGAAATATATATGCCATTAAAATAAACCTAAACTAATTTCTCATTCCGTGTAATTCTGGGAATTGTGGGATTTTTGGAGCTGGGAAAGACCATAGGGATTGACTGCTTATGCTTAGATTGTAAAGTTAGTTTGTGGAAAATATTCAGCGACTTTCCAATTATCACAAATATGAGAATTATTCGTCCTGTTACATGAATTTTTCTACGAAGAGCTTTGCAATTCTCCCTGACTCATTGACTGGCATACTGACCCTGGACTCAAAAAGCAATCTGACTTAACGTGACTCAGAAAGCATCAACTGCTCTAATTTCTTTCCATTTCTAACACCATTGGTATTGGGGACATAACAAATCGCATAAATTCATCAGCCGACATGCTAGAATAATATATAGTCTGATTTTCTTCATGCTACAAATTAAATTATTATAAACATTAGTGTACAGAATACTTAGACTAAGAATGAAACATTAAATCAATATTCGTGCCATGAGCTACGCACAAATACGTTATCAATTTACCTTTCAAATATAGTTTTAATGAATTAGTGACCCATTGCCATTGAGCTTTTTATAATGATTCTACTTAATAAAATATTTATTTGTGGGAAGAAAAAAAGAATTTTCCAAAAACTGAAAAAACACTTTTTTAAAGCAATTTTTCGGATTACAACGTTAAACTCATCTCGAGCTCTGTGAAGTGACATCAGATCTTTCAAGTTTCACTGCGTTTCAGGATTGTTCCTGAAGAGATACTCAGCCTGTAATCGAGAGAAAGGAGAAAAGCCAAGTCAATAATTTAGAAGATACTATAAGATATTTATTAGTCATATATTTGTACTATTAATGTTTACAATTTAAAAATGAAATACATGAATCTTTTACTTTCAAATGAGTAATGAAAAACCTTATTATAAACTGTGAAGGTGTTAGAGGCTATTTCCCAGATAACCAGACACGCAATTTCTCTATCTCAACTGGCTTTCCACATTTTATTTTCAAATTGATATTTTTTTAAAAACCCAAAACTTAAATCTCTTACCAGGAAATCAATGGGATCATCCGGTCTGACCTTACAACACTCATTCAGACCCTGCATAAGCGTTGGCATAACGTAGGTCATTAAATAATTCCTCAGGGGAATAGACTGGGCCTCCAGTAATTCTCTTTCTTCTCTTTTCACTTCCTCTAGTCGTCTGTTCTATAAACAGGACATTTGGGGGAGGGGTAAACAGACAGTCAGAAAGGAGCGAACACTTTCACACGACTCACCCCAGAGTGCATTAGAACCAGAGACTGCTCTAAATGTGCACCATGTCGCAACAAAGATGACACTTCCAGTCAGCAAAGAAAAGATGTAAATGGTGTTATAACAACTGCCTAGTCATTTAGAAAATAATAAAACTGGATCCCTACCTCACTTCTTCAATGAAAATAATTTCCAGCTGCCCAGATGAAGCAAAGTAAAAGAGAGAACGAGAGAAGTGCTAATAGAAAGTCTAGAAGGTATTGGTCTGGTGGACATGTGCTAGTCCTTGCTCAGCATACGGCTCCCCCTCTCAGGAATAATAATTCCAGATTTCCTTTGAGAAATCTCCCTTCTCAGCCTAGCAGTTTAGGTGGGACTTAAGGTCATTAATCCAGCCTGCCTCCTGGCCATGGACGTTAGCTAATGACGGGCACATTGGGCAGATCCTAAGGATGACGACAACATGGAAGGCAGAGCAGAAAGAAGGATCCCAGGTCCTTGGTGACACCATCTGAGCCACTATATCAAGCCTCACCTAAAGCCAGCTCTATCCCTGGACTTTTCTGTTATGTGAAACCATACATTTTCTTTAATTCTAAGCCATTTTGAGTTTGCTTTTTTTATCACTTGCAAGATAAAGAGTCCTAACTGATATTATTTGTTTGAAAAGAGGTCTTGGGGCCAGCCCCATGGCCGAGTGAATAAGTTTGAATGCTCTGCTTCGGTGGCCTGGGGTTTGCCGGTTCAGATCCCGGGTGTAGACCTACACACTGCTCATCAAGCCATGCTGTGGTGGCATCCCACACAGAAGAACTAGAATGACCTACACCTAGGATATACGACTATGTGCTGGGGCTTCAAGGGGAAAAAAAAGAAAAGAAAAGAAAAGAGGTTTTTCCCAGCAAGACAGCAACGGGAAACCAAACCCAGAAATCAAAATGGGAAAAAGATGGATGGATTTGACTTCATATAAATAAAAAACTTTTTATAGCCAAAAAAAACCCACCATAAATGATGTTAAAAGATAAATGATGAGTTGAGAAAAACTATTTCCAACATATTATAAAAAGCCAGGATATAATGGGAGTACACACTATTTGCCAGGCACTGTCTGGGTATTTTTACATATATTGGCTCTTTAATCACCACGGTGACTCTATGAAGCAGGTACTGGCATCATCTTCATTTTACAGATGCAGAAACTGAGACAGGGAGTGACTTGTGCAGGGCCACATACCTGCACGGAGAGCCGAGCAAGAATTGGACTCTAGCAACATAGCCTGGGAGACAGACTGTTGTCTCCCGGGGCCATTCCTGTTTCTATTACACGACCTTATCAGGAGCTGTTCTTACAAAATCATAAGAAAAAGACACATAGCCGAAACCCAGGCAGAGAAATCGTGCAACATAAGAAGAAACATGAGTGCCTACCTAACACAGGAAAAGTTGCTAAATTACTGATCAGAGAAGTGCACACTAAAACGACGAAATGGGTTTTGGTTATCAGATTGGCCTCTGTGAGCAAAATGGAGAAAGCGGGGTTGGAGGAGGTGTAGGGAAACACACGGTCAGACAGGATGTGAACTGGTTTATCCCCGCTGGAGGGCAGTTTAGAAATGTGTGTCAAAAATTAAACCATGTCTAGTCTGACCTAGCAAACCTTAAAAATTCACGCTAAGGAGATAATCAGGCACTCCAAAATGTGTGCATGATGACTCCCTTCCTGCCTGCCTTCCTTCCTCCCTCCCTTCCTTCTTTTCTTCCTTTTCTCCCTCCCTCCTTTCTTCCTTCTCTCCCTCCCTCCTTTCTTCCTTCTTTCCTTACACAAATATTTGTTAGGTGCCTATCACATGCCAGGCACTGTTCTAGGCCTTAGAAATATAGTAGAGAAAAACACAGACAAAAATCCTTATCCTCATGTAATTTAAATTCTGTGCAGGGAAAAGACAATAAATGAGACAGATATACAAAATATATAGTACATTAGATAGAATAAGGGCAAAGAGGGAAATTAAAAAGTATAAAAGGGAATATGACACGTTGTAGGGAGGGGGCAGGGGCTGAAGTTTGAAACACGATATCCAGGAAAGGTCTTATTGGAAAGATGACTTTTCACCAAGACTCGAAGCAAATGAGGAAGTTGGTCACCCAGATGGTGCAAAGAAGGGCACTGGGGCATTATTTGAAACTGGGAAATACTAGAAGCAGGCAGGTCACAGAGGACCTTGGGGGCCACAGAAAGGAGTGGGCCTTTGCTGTAACGGGGATGGACAGCCTGTGAAGAGTTTACACGGAGACTGGCCATGGTCCATGTGTATTTTAGAAGGGTCTCCTGGCAGCTGCACAGACACAGCTTGGAGATGGACAGGGGTGGAGGTGGGGAGACCAGCGAGAAGGCACCACGTATTTCCGGCAAGAAACATTGCCCCTGACCAGGAGAGGTGGAGACCTCTGGGTGGATCTGAGTGCTATTTTAGGAAGCAAATAGGGAAGACTCAGGAATCTGGGGAATGAGGAGGATGGAATGAAGCTGACCACCCAGGGTAGATGGGTAAATCGAGGAAAATCAAGCAAAATCACAAGGGTGACATGCAGCAGATGCGACACATTCACGCGGGTGCATGTTATTAATACTACTGGCAGTGGCTGGTTATTGTTATCATTACTATTTATACTAAGCAAAAGACCCTGGGCAGCTTTAAAAAAGTAGTACATATGACAAAACAAACAAAAACAGAAAAACAAAACAAACTTGTTTGGGGCATTTCTGTGACATTTCTCTATTAGCAAGATAAGAAGTGCAACTGGCTTAAACGACTCTGCAGGGCCCCCCCTACTACCCATCCACATGCACACACATACACACACATGCACACACACACATGCGCACTCACCCACTCCTCCCAGCGAGCAATCTTCTCTGCCATCTCCAAGGCTTCCTTGCGTTCGCGTTCCGCTTCCTGCATGGCCTCCCTGGCCAGGCTTTCCTCGGCAGCTCGCCGCTCCTCTTCTGCCTTTTCTTCATCCGTTAAACCGTAATTTCGAGGCTTCCCAATCTCTTTGATGAGCTGTTTGATAGCAAGTCTGTTCTGAGCATCTTCAAGCTTTCCTACATCTTTAAATACCAGGAGAGAGGAAGGGGATCAAGGCATGCTTACGTTCTCAGCCTGCCTGCCATGGGGAAAATTCGTTACTACTACAAATGGGTGATGGTAAGTTATGTAAATTACCACATTGGGGTTTCCTTTGCTAGTTTCCAGCACAGTTCAGAATTGCTCATCTCAATGGCAAATATCAGACCGGTGTCTGGGGGTCCCGGGGAGGAAGACTGGGGCTCGGTCTTTGAGTTCTGACAGTCACTGTTGATTTGACGGGATGGATGGGGGAATGGACCTCCTCAAAAGGAATGAGTTCTCCATTCCGGGAAGCATCCAAGCGGAGACTGGGATACTTCTATGGGGCTTTCCTCAGAAGGAAGTCTCGCTCTTGTTGGAGGTCAGGCAGGCTAACCTCCAGGTTTCTGCTGTTTTCCGTTTCTGAGAAGCAATGATTCTGGGACATTTTTTTGATTCATTAAAAAATTAACCATTTCGGTTAGCCTACTTGAACAAGAAAAAGTCCAAATTCCAGAATATCTGACCAATGTTAATATCAAGACCAAAAAAGAAGAAAGAAAAGCCTGTTGGTAACAACGAGTTCCCCCGCAAAGTCACAAGGTAGTAAATTCTCTATCACTCTCTTAGGTTTGCTCCGAAGGGGTCTGCATAGAAGCATTTTGGGGGGGTCTGCCCTGTGGCTGAGTGGTTAAGTTCTTGCGCTCCGCTTTGGCAGCCCAGGGTTTCGCAGTTCGGATCCTGGGTGCGGACATGGCACCGCTCAACAAGCCATGCTGAGGCGGCGTCCCACATGCCACAACAAGAAGGACCCACAACTAAACATACACACCTATGTACCAGGGGGCTTTGGGGAGAAAAAGGAAAAAATAAAATCTTTAGAAAAAAAAAAAGAAGAAGCATTTTGGTACTGAGTACCTCCAGACCTTCCTCTGGGTAACCTCTCACCCTGCCCCATGCACAGCCCCGCTGTGCTCCCCTCCCCCACCCCCAGGTTTGTACTGTTTCACCTTGACCTAGACTAGAGGCACCACCTGGTTCTAACACTAGAAGAGGGGAAGACCAGGGCCAATGTATCAGTTGGTGGATGGCAGCGAGCCCATAAAAAAGCAAAAAAAAAAACCACCCCAAAACAAAACAAAAAACCCCTCACATCTGCCAGCTCTTCGTTGCCTGAGCTCTGACATTTAAATGTATTTCTCCTCGTTTCTTCTAGTAGGGTAATGACAGCCTTCACGTGCTGGCAAGTGCTCTGAGGCATTTTTGAAAAGGTTCCCTTTTGGAGGACAAGCTCATACAGAACAATGCTGCCCCAGCAATTCTTCTGCCCTCACCCTGGCGGGGGAGAACCGCCCATTAGACAGGGATGGACACCTGACCAAACCCTGAGCTCCGACTTGTCCTTCTAGGCATGCAGAATTAGGACGGAAAGAGTCACGTCCAGCTCTCAGTTTGGCTCCTAGTGTGACATGGAAACTTCGGGGCTGTAGGGTAGCCCCAGTACCCCACATGGGCCAGAGAGGGGAGAGAGGTGCTGGTCCACAGAGTGAGAGAGTAAAGAGATATTGAGAAAGAAGTGGAGTCCAGAGATGCAGAGAGAGAATGCAGGTGCCAGCATTTTTCCAGGGCCCCATTCCAGATCCTCTGGGGCTGGGCTGCATTCCTGACCATGACACCCTCCCCCACCATGGCCATCCTTATGATACATTTCTGCCCTTTGCTTTTACGTTATCTCCTGGTTGTCAGTGTGGAGATGAGACCAAACGTGACGGGTACAGAATGAGACAAGAACACAAGGGCCACTCATCCATTCCTCCCCATCATTTCTGTCTTTCTCAACGTTTCTCCCTGGGGGGGTGAGCTGCCCTGTGTAAAGGTCAGGAGAGGCTCTGTGAAGAGCACCAGTGCCCTGCAATGCTATGGGGACAGAATGCTATCCTCAAGGGAGCTGGGAGAATGGTGCAAAGCAGCCGGCAGCAAACACACATATCTTTGAAGTCCCCTTAAATAAATGCCAATTTGGTATTCGACTTCATAATACATCCATTTGTTTTCATATAACAGTAACACCCCCTCACCACCAAATCCTCAAGTAGAAGGACTCCCCAGGAGGAGTGCCCTGTTTATCCTGTGACTTCCCCAGCCCTGGCACATGATCCTACTTCCCTGTCCTCCCCCAGCCCTATGACAGATGTGCACCGGGACTGGCTGGGGGTCCTGATACTTGGCAGTGGCTCTCCACATTCACATTATCCTTGAGTTCATTTCATACCAATATGTATCGGGTGGATGTCAAGTTCATCAAAATAGTTTAAGACAGTCTCATCTTCGGTATTGATGTCCCGGTAGTTGCTCAGTGACCGGAGGAACCAGTCTTGGCTGTAGTGGGTCCCTGCCACGACGCTCTCCGGCAGATTCATCACCCGCTCCTTGAGGAACTCGTCCGAGGCATCCAGGGCACAGACGAACTCTGGGGAGAGGAAGAAGCTGCTGAGTTAACCCAATGACAGTGGAGCTAACTAGCGGGTGCTGGTGGACAGGACACTGTTTAACCAAAACATCTAGTTACCAGCTGGAACACCTCATGTTGCCACAAATGGCCTGACAAGTTGGCCTTCTTGCTGCCTCTCATGGAGGATAAAAACATGCACATCGCTGATGTTTTCAGAGACTACCCTTTGAGGCCCAACCAGTTGGTCTTTTGTGAGATCTATTATCTTTCTTTCCCTCCCTCCCTCTCATCCTTCCTTTCTTTTTTCTTTCTCTGCTTCCCGCCTTCCTTTTCATAAAAGCAGCAGAAATTGTAAATAGGAAATCTCTAATAACCCTGTGGTGTCTATCCTTAGCCTCCCAGTCAAGTCTCACCTTGCCTCTTTGCCAACCCAGTGTCACAGGCTCTCAGAGACTCATGACTATGAGTGAAATGCTCTGATTGCCTGTTTGCCAAATTAATGAAAACGAGGACTCCTCTTGAGATTTTAATTTTCCATGGATCCAGCTCATTTACTGCCATTGGCTATGAAACAAACATCTATGTTCAATACAACATAGTTGGCGCTTAGTGAATGTTTGACACGTGGATCATATTCATGATGGTGATCATTTCATCGACCTGTGATGTTCTTTTAAATTATAAAAGTACTTGTTTCTCCAGCTTCTAAGACAAGTTCAATGGATATTTTCTGAGTGAATGAATAAATGATTAAAGGGCGGATCAGTGAAACAAACTTTCTAGGTGAGTTACCATTCTCAGATGTTCTCAACAGGACCAGAGTGCACTGGTGGCCAGATCAGTAGCCAGGTGTCTTGAAAATAACTTGCTGCCTATAAGAACCTGGCAAGGGCCAGCCCGGCGGCATAGTGGTTAACTTCATGCGCTCTGCTTCCATGGCCTGGGGTTCGCTGCTTTGGAACGCAGGTGTGGACCTACACACAGCTCATCAAGCCATGCTGTGGTGGCGTCCCACATGCAAAATAGAGGAAGACTGCCACAGATGTTAGCTCAGGGCCAATCTTCCTCCAAAAAAATTAATTAATTAAATAAAATTAAAATATAAGAGCCTGGCAAAGCTTGGGAATGGTTTGATTTTTATTCTGAAATTGTATTGGTTTGCCACATAATAATGCCATTCCCACTTAATTGCATTCTATTAAGGCTTCTTGAGTGGGTGAGAAAAGAAAGTGAACCCGGCAGAGCCCAGAGCAGGGTATGCACGTTAGGTGCGTGGAAGACGTGTGAACAATGTGTTAACAGTGACAACAAAGGCTGAAGACACAGCTGACAGAATAACCTATTGATTCATAACCAAAGTCTGATACACTACCACTATTCCACCTCTTTTAGTTGAATATAGATTCTCATCTGTGACCATTTGATTTTCATGAGTAGCTATATTTTGAAAAGGAAAGGAGGCATCTGGATGATTCCTCGAATGCTGGTATAGTACTTAAATTGAAATAATGTCAGTAAATTCACTGGAAATTGAATCTGTTTAAGCTCCATGGTGTCAGACATCTAGATGAAAATTTAATTCTGTTAATAATCTAAGAATTTCAAAATATAATACTCTTATCTTCTTTTCCAGTGATTGAGAGAAGGAAGATTCCAGTTAATCAAATATTGTGAATAATAAGTGATATACTTGGCTTCCAATTTTCAAAGAATTTTAATGTGATAAAATATATTTCCCACTATATGGTATTTGTTTTTTTACATCTTTTCTCTTAAATGATTCAGGAAAAACTTCAGGATTTTGCAGTATCTCAAGATATTATTCAGAATGTCTACTGTCCTTTTACTGGCTAACTGTGGATGGCAAGCAATAGATTTCTGCCTGGTAAGGTGATACATAACAAGGAGGTCACTGTATTTCGCTATTTGGAGTCATGTGAAAACCTGTATTTTAACAAAATTTCCATATTCCAGGTAGGTACAACTTCAAACTTGTCTCCTTCAACTAGGAGATCTGAAAAGAATCAAGCTGGACGTAGGCTAACAGCAGTGGAAAAATGCAATGATTTACCAACAAGAGATAATACCACCTAGGAGTGGGTTACCGTAGATTCGAATGTTTCATCATTCAAATCAAGCACTGACCGATGCTTGTTTTAGTCATGCTTTTTATTTTCTGTATCTAACGATGTTTTGACATCTTGGGGGGTACTTACAGACCCAGGGAGAGACTGCCCCTTCCAGGCCTAGCTAATACCTAAAGATGGTAAACAACATGCTTGGGAGCATGCCTTTCACAGGTGAGTCAACCAGCCCCTTTACATAACTCACACACCAAGCCAATATTTCCCCTGCCTTAAGTCATCCCAGGGCCAGGTACCAGACAACTAGAAGCCAAAGCCCACTGGAATTACTCAAATTAGCCAATTCTCTAAAAAAGCTGTCACCTCCGCCCTGCCTTGTCTTTCCCATGGAAACCCCAATAGAGACTATGTCCAAGACTTTCCCATCTCCTGCGTCTGCCTCCTGACCAAGCCTGGTGCCTCCCCGTGTGGCCCTGCATGGTGTGGCATGCCCCCCTCGTCTGGGGAAATGTGAGTAACAAATTCTTTCAATGGCATTAACCTCTCATGTCATCACTCAGTCACCTCCATAAACTAAAATTCCAGGGTGCAAATGAGACGATGCTCTAATTTCTTTCAGGAAGATAGAAAATGATGACAATTTCTGGAAAGAGGGTAATTTACTGAGAAGAGATGAAACATTCCAAATATATTACATCTGAGACATGTTTGGACTGTGTCTAGCAGAGAGGGGGCAGTCCAGGGGACCACGATTAAGCATCATTCATCATTCTACTTCTGAGTCTCCATTTCCTTATCTCAGGGAGGGGTTTCATTAATTCTGTTTTTGGAAGCAGTGGAGTGAGAAAACCTGAGTTTGAATTTAAGCCCTCCTATTCACCAGCGAAGTGGACTTGGAAAAGCCTCTGGGCTTCAGCTTCTGGATCAGGTAAACATGAGAGTAATTCCTGATTTGCAGGGTGGTGGAAAAGTGTGTGGTGCTGGTCACGTGATAAATGATCAGTTAAGCTGAATTTTAAGCTGCCTCAGCGAGAGCATGAGGATTTATGACGAGGTTTGCAATGAATGAATATTGCGCAGAAGTGATAAACTCTCATAAACTGGACAGACCTGATTTTTCAGAGTAATCAACTTTACTTTTTAACCTTTTCTGAGGCTAATACATAAATTAATGGGAAATCTGAGACAAGTCATCCCTTTGGCATTTCATGCGCCTGCCACAAGTTTCAGAGCCCTCAGGCAAACAATAAATATCCATCCCTGACGATGACTGCTTTCTGGTGGTCTCAGTACTTCCAGAAGCTTCCTTGAAAGCTGTGCCTGCACCCAGAGGAGGAGAGGATTACAGCCATGAACTGACTCCCCCCAGGGACTTTGACACAAGTGAGCAGGCCCTTCTGAGTTACAACCTTGTGCTAAGTTGCTGAGAATAGCTGTTGTTGTATTTACCAGGTGACCAAAAATTACTTTCTACGATTACACCTCATGTGAATCGATTTTAAAAAAACTTTTTAAAGTTCACGGCAAGGTCACAAGAAATGCCTGCTAGATACTCAGTGTATCCTTTTTCGTGGAATAAGTTGTTGACACTTTGCTTTCAAGGGTACATTGTGAAACCTCTGTATAAATATGTGATAAAACAGTGAACTGAAGAGCTTTTCACCCAACGAGTCTCAATTCTGGATTCTGGATGTCTCCCGGAAAAGATGAGGACATCGCTAGCACCTAAAATACAGGAAGGAGCAATGATCCAGTCCCTGGTGGTCTCACCAACGGACTCAGAAGTCAGGGCATCGCCAGGCTACGCGTTGTTTATAACAGGTGGGAGGAGCAGAAATGAACATTCTCCAGGGGACTTCTGTCCATTTCAGAACTTTAGTATCCCTAATATTTACCCCCCAATGCATTCTCTAGTCTGGAAGTTTGTGTTTAAGCATATCGTTCTACTTTTTTCCTAAAAGACAAGATCTACTTTATTAACATGAAAAAGATGGTTTGGGTACAAAAGAGATATCGAATGGCATTCCTTTAAATATGACCTTGGAGAAATATTTTCAACTTACCAGGTATGATTAGTCTATCAAAGGGAAGCATTTTGCCTCTGACCTCTTCTTCCTCCTCCTCATCTTCTTCTAGTAAAACAAAATATACATCATCATGTTTATTACATGTTATTACATGGATAGCTCGGCGAAAAATTCACATATTTTTAACTCAAACTTACGATTGAACAGGTCTTTGGCTTGGTCGTAGGTCTTTGGGAACCCATCTAATACATAACCTTGATTCCTACAAGGCATAGATTTTAGCTTTTCTTTTATAAATCTAATTATATATTGATCTTCTAGTTGGCCTAATAAAAAGAAAAAAAATATTACCGTGGAGTCACATTTTACATAGGGGTTACCTTCTAAAGTCATCTAAAAAATTGTTGTGTAGTCAAAGTTACCATGGAAAATCTCTTACTTTTCTCTTAAAGTTAAAAATCCGTGGTTCTGTATTTTGGACATGACACATGAATTCTGAAAAAGTAGGAGAACCCAATGAGCTTGTCTACAAGAAAGAACAGGAGCAAATGCTCTTCTTGGCACTTCCAGAATGCTCTTCTGGGGTCACAGCTTTTGGGTTAAGTTGACTGAAGAGTAAGTAGAGAAATCCAGAGTGTTCCCACTTGCCAATGGAGTTTACTCCATTCTGTTTTGATATTATGCCGCTTTAACCTTAATATATAGTAGTAATAAATGCTTCCGTTGTGAGAGTTAAGCGAGATAGTATTCACGTGTGTTGCTAACGTACAATTTATTCATAGGAGGTGCTCAATAAATATCTGCTGCGTTTGAATAAAAATAAAGCTTGATCTGACCCTCACAAACCCTGTTCTCTTCAAAGCTGTGGAAAAGAACATGGCGCCCCTGCTCCCTGAGTTTTCTCACCTTGGCCCCACTGGAAAGTTCTCTCTCAGGCCCTGGATGCCAGGTTCCTGCAGTTGTTTGGGGAGTTTGTTCTACAACTGGCACAGCGGTTAAAGGACAACACAACGTAGCTCCACCACAATATTCATTTATCATTCCATGGTAATTATTGGACACCTGTCACTTCTAAGACACAGCCCTGCCCCTACGTTGCTTAGTGCACACAGTACAGTAACGTAAGTTTGGCAAGTTTGAGAAGATCTCCAAAGCTCTTTCTAGGGTATGCACTGTACTTTTAGTTTATCAGGGGGCCTTTATATAAAATAAATAGTTTTGGGCCTTTTTTTCCTACCATTCTATTTTTTTTTTTTTTGAAACCAACTGCAGTGTGTGATTTTTCTCTTTTCTTAAAGATTGGCCCTAAGCTAACATCTGTTGCCAATCTTCCTTTTTTTCTCCCCAAAGCCCCAGTGCATAGTTGTATATTCTAGCTGTATGTCATTGTAGTTCTTCCATGTGGGATGCTGCCAAAGCATGGCTTGATGAGCAGTGTGTAGGTCTGTGCCCAGGATTCGAACTGGCAAACCCTGAGCCACCTAAGCGGAGCACATGAAGTTAACCACTCGGCCACAGGGCCGGCCCCCCCATCATTCTATTAAAGACAATAAAATGATTTAATTAAAACACCTCTCCTGGGCCAACCCCGGTGGCCAAGTGGTTAAGTTCAGCGAGTTTCACTTCCATGGCCCAGGGTTCGGTTCCTGGGTGTGGACCTACACTGCTCTGTTAGGACCATGCTGTGCTGGTGGCCCATATACTAAAAAACAGAGAAAGATTAGCTCAGGGCAAATTTTCCTCAGCAAAACCAACAAATAAACAAACAAACAAACACCTCTCCTTTCTTCTATCTCTCATTGTTATGTGAATCATTAGACAGTAATTGATTCTTTCAATTAGACAATAATTGTGTCTTTCAGAAATTTATAGCAGAGTAAAAAAGAAAAATAATCAAAGGTATTATTTAACATAATAAAATTCCTTGAAATGATTTGACATTAATTCCCAGGAAAGTTCTTAATAGCGCAAAGAAATAAAGCCAAAAAAAAAAAAGTCAAAGGATTCCCTAATATTCAAAGACAAGTTTTATCGAAGCAGTCTATTTTCAATTTTCAAAGGCTTCGTTGGTAAGGCGGAGGCACAAACCCAGAAGTCTGGCTTTGGTCCCCTCCAACGCATCCCTGGGTTTCTTTCAGGCAGTGGGTTCTGCCATTCGTTTCTGTTGGCCTCAGAACATAAGTGTTCAGGGTGCAAGAAGGGACCTCCAGCAGCGGTGAAGGATAACTGAGGACTGCGAGCGCACAAGGGGCCAAGCGCAGGGGCCTTTCTCTGGAGAACACTGACCTGAGTCGGCGTTGAGTTCTTGGCAAGGGGACTGTCATTTCTGCTTTAAAATGAATACTGGACAGCCTTTAAAACTCACGGCTGCTTCTTCTTCTTTGAAAATTTTAAGTCTATCTTTCAAATACCAGAAATGTTGAAAATGCTACTATTAACCCATATTCATAATCACTAAAACATGGTTTAAAAATAGATAGCTGCAACCAAGTTTTAAAAATAATCCACGGACAGTGTAAACACCAGGAAATGCATACCTTCACAGCCGTTTCTCCCACCCACTTTTTATTTTCAAACTCACAGACAAGTTCAAAGACTATTTTAATGGTCACCTGGAATGCCACCAGCTAGACTCAATGACCCCACAGCGCTTTTGAGATACATAAGGAGAGCACAAAGAATCCTAGCTAGCGCACTCTGGGCTGTAACCACGCCCCTGCCTCGGCTGCACCATCAGAGGCTCTTCCGAGAGGACTAATGAGTAGGACACGGAGGTGCCTCGCTGGGAGGTTGTGAAACTTGTCCTGCTAGAATCATTGCAATCATATGCTAACCAGTTGGGTCAGATGAGGGAGAAGCGAGCTAACCCGTGTCCGCCTGCTGTGAAATTGCTATTGTAGTTCCGTGCAGTGGGTTCAAAGGTCTTGCTTTATCCAAACATAATCGAGGTCCATGTTCTAGTTTCAGGTAAATATGAATAGGAAGGATTTTTGGACCGACTTGAAGAAGACAAAAATACCTTCCTAAGGTTAAAGGGGATGGAATGGACTGTTCCAGCCCTGTGGGCAGCGGACGGGTGGGCATACCACAGGGAGAGGGGAGACGGAGGGATGCTTGCTGTTCTGAAGACTTTCCGTTCCCCCAAAGACCACTTCCTCTGCTCCCTCCCAGGGCCTCTCTGGAGAGAGGCTGCTGACCCAGTCTGACCTCTCTTGCATGTGAGGGAAGAACAGAGTCTTCTGCCAAGGGCAGGCTGTCCTTGACCTTGGGCGCTGCAGTGACTGTTCTCAACTCGGTACTGTCTATGCTATAATTCTTGTTCTATGTGGTCACCTCCCTGGGCATGAAAAGAGCACAGTCAGTACTTCACAGCGTCCTATTACATGATGTCCTTGGATAAGACTTTTCGGTCCTTGCTATGTAAGTCTCTGCCAATACGTATTGTCCAGTGTTTGTCTCATCCTGTTGGCCTGAATAATAGACGTTCTCGCCTCTCCTCCAAGGGCGACATAGTTCACTGCCCCCAGAGCCTTGTTTCTGGCCTGATACCTCAAGCTTCCAATGTATGCATACATGGCCATGTATACCTGGATTCCTAAAAATTCCAGTCCCCAGCCCTTAACGTCGCTTTGCCTGATTTCCTTCCACAGGTGTTCTCACAATGGAATGTCTTATCTTGGGTTTTTTCTCTTCCCCCAAATGGTGGGAGCCAGGACTCTGTTAGACTCTAAAACCTGGACAGTGACTCGTAAATGTCTCCTGGGCGAGATGGAGACAGTGTTACAGCTCCGAGTATTAATTTGTGTTTTTTTATATACCTTCCTTTTCCTCCGGGAAATCTCTGGAATTGTAAATTCCATTTCCTCATGGCCCAGCCCACATCAAAGCAGAAACCAAGACTCAGATAATCAGATAATTAAGTGGACACTCAGTGTATGGGACAAAACCACCTCCTCCACCCCCAAAACCAGACTGGAGTGGGGGAAGGAGGTGGAGGGGTAACCTGGGCCTCAGAGGAAAGCATGGAGGGGGTGGAGTCCTTGAAGATGAGCAGCTGGGAAGGGGACCACCTGGGTGATGGGCCAGAAGGCCAGAGAAGGGGCGGGCAGTCCAGGGCAGAGCCTCAGGGGAAGGCGGTGGGCAGTCCTCAGGGGGTGGATCTGTGAGGGGCCCACAGAAGCACATCCCCAGGAAGGAGCAGCAAGCGCCCACGCCATCCCATCGGCCCCCCAGGGCCAGTTTACACACCTCTCCTTCTCCCCTCATCCGCACCTGCCCCAGCCCAACCCTGGAGGATCAGAAACAGCCACCAGCAAGATGGGAGGAGTAAGTAAGAGGAAAAAACACAAACGTGCTTGAGGGGGTGGCCAGGGGTGAAACCCTACTGAGTAAGAGTCCAAGCTGTTGGTCACATTGGACCGGTCTACGGATGATACTAGTACAACCAATTTGATGGAGGATCTCCACTAACTATAGAGATGAAATGGTGGGGCTGGCCCCGTGGCCAAGTGGTTAAGTTCACACCCCTGCTTAGGGGGCCCGGGGTTTTGCTGGTTCAGATCCTGGGCGCAGACCTAGCACCGCTCATCAGGCCATGCTGAGGTGGCGTCCCACACAGCACAACCAGAGGGACCTACAACTAGAATATACAACTATGTACCAGGGGGCTTTGGGGAGAAGAAGAAGAAGAAAAAAACAAAAAGATTGGCAACAGATGTTAGCTCAGGGCCAATCTTAAAAAAGTTAAAAAAAGAAATGGTTTTATTTTTCTAATAACTGCTACTGTTTTCCTGCTGGGTAGCAAGCTCCCTTACAGACATGTCAGTTCAAAACCCAGTTTGTGATTCTTTGATTAGAATGGACTTTTTAAAACAAGAATCAGCAAAGAGGCTACTCACTTATCATCTAAAAGTTGCAGTGGGACCCGCCTGAAATTCCGCCGAAGGGTGGGGAAAGAATGAGTCCAGAGTTTGAGTTTAAAGTGACACTTGACTGTGATTACTTTGTTCAAAAACCTGGTTTATATTACCAAGCGAGTAAGACAATTTTTCCATTTATTTGTATTTCTTCCTACATGAATTATGGGTCCATGTTATTCATTTATTTTTTTTTTTTTGTATTTAGGATTTACTGATTTTCTTATTAGTTTGCTTGAGCATTTTATATACTAAGGATATTAACTCTTTGTCATATTGGTGGTGACAAATAAAAATGGCAAGCAATAGGATATATTGGAGCATATGAGGAAGCCATTTCGTGTAAACCTAATTTGGCCTGACCTCCAAAAGGGCCTGACCGAGGCTGTTGAGCACACATTGTATATCTGCTTTAGAGATTCCCTATGGCAAGAACAAAGGCCCTTGAGATAAAGGTGCAACTTCCCTCCCCCTCCCAACGTTGGAATTTCCTTAAGGGTTAAGCATCTTTCCTTAGGCTAGGAACTGATTGCTGCGCTCACCTATGACCACCCAGCTCGAGACAACAGCCTTGCCTCCTGCTAGGCCCTATGAGATAGCAGACCCGCTACCTGCTGTGTCCATCAAGCACTGTGCCAACAGGGCAATCTTGTGACTATTGTGGGAGGGACATTTCAGTCATATGTGAAACGTCCTGTTTGGGGGTATACAACCACTCTGTATACCTCACTTCTTTGGTGCCCTTTCTTCTTTTGGGAAGAAAGGCCCTGGGCCATGGTCCTCAGATTTTAGTTCAGAATAAACTCACCCAAATTTTCATTTATAGATTGGTTATGGATTATTTTCGTCGACGGTGGCAAACATTTTTCTCCTGGCTTACCCTTTGCCTTTTAAGTAATGATTTCTGATGCTTATGAAATATTTATGACTACACATTTGATTTTTTTTTTTTTAACTTAGGTAGTTCTTTCCCATCTTATGGTCAGATAGTCACCAAAACTTTAATGGAGATTTTTTTTCCTGGGGTAGGAGATTATGAATGAGAGTTCTCTGTGGTTGTTATAATTTCTGTACTTACTTTTTCTAGCAAACAAACAGTCTTTCATAACAAGAAAAAAACACTGTTAACCAGACCGGCGCAGCCCCATGCTGCGTGTGCGTTACCCGAGTTCTGCTCCATGCTTTCTTTGATGCCGTCCAAGAGCTCCTGTGCGTCTTCCACATTCTCCTCTTCCTCCTCCTCTTCACCTTCTTCTTCGCCTTCCCCTCCATCTTTAGGTGCGACAATCGCCTCCTGCATACCACAGGGATATTCAAGTTGGATGATGCCTGCGTTGATGCGCTACTCACAGATCCACTGACAAGTGATCCTGGAAAAGGCTGGTACCCAAACAGGGAACGTGCTCGAGACAGGCGTCGTGCGTAAGTTGTCAGGATGTGGGTATCTGCAAAGATGGACGACAGCCTCGAGGCTTTTCTTTCTCTATTTGAGGAAAATAATCTATTTCTGTGCTAATGCTGGAACTGCTTAAGAATCAACACTTTTCTAGTGTCAGGTTGTACCTTACTTGAAGGAAACACGTTTTGTAGAAATCAAGACTTTTAGTAATCACTTATGGAAATGTAGGTCAGTATCTACCATTCCCAACAAAATGATAAAAAGCAATTAATTGGGGAGAGGAAGGGGAGACAGAGCAAGGAGGATTTTTACGGCAGCGAAACTACTCTATATGATATTATAATGGTGGTTACATGTCACTATATATTTGTCCCAAATTCATAGAAGGTACAACACCAAGAGTGAACCCTAATGTAAACTATGGACCTTGGGTGATAATGACATGTCACTGTAGGTTCATTGATTGTAACTACAGTCATGCATCACTTAATCATGGGGATACATTCTGAGAAATGAGTCCTTAGGTGATTTCATCATTAAGCAAACATCATAAGGTGCACTTACACACACCTAGATGGTACAACCTACTACACACATAGGCTGTATGGTACTAACCTTATGGGACCACCATTGTACATGTGGCCGATCGCTGACTAAAGTATTATGCCTCGCACGACTGTCACGGCCTACTCTGGTGGGGGATGTTGATAATGGGGAGGCTGTGTGTGTTGGGGGGCTGGCGGGCTAGAGGATGCACAGGAAATCTCTGCACCTTCCTCTCAATTTTGCAGTGAACGTAAAACTGTTCCAAAAAAATAAAGTCTTTTCTTAAAAAAGCAGCTAATAAACAGTCTAATACCCTGAGATACATACATCAAGGAGAAAAAAACCTCAGAATGTTCCAGTTGACAGAGAGAATACAAGATGGATTTTAAGCAACAGCTGGAGACAGACTAAATTTCAACGGCAACCCATGAAAGGCGCTTCCATCTCACAGAGGAAAGTCCTGTGGGATGCTGTGTTTTCATAACCGGGGACAACAACAAAATCCAATTAAAATAATAAATCTCTTTGGAGGGTGCCATGTAAAATTAGTGGCTTCTTTATTACAAAATGAAGAAAAGCATTTTTTTTAAAGATTGGCATCTGAGCTAACATCTGTTGCCAATCTTTTTCTCTTTTCTTTTTTTTTCATTCTTCCTCTTCTCCCCAATTCCCCCCCCAGTACCTAGTTGTATATTCCAGTTGCAGGTCCTTCTGGTTGTGGCATGTGGGATGCCGCCTCAGTGTGGCCTGACAAGCGGTGGCATGTCCGTGCCCAGGATCCGAACCGGCAAAATCCTGGGCCACGGAATTGGAGCGTGCGAACTTAACCACTCGGCCACGGGGCCAGCCCCCAGACAAGCATTTTTTAAAATAGAAAAATTCCCAGTAACGTAGTTAAAAGTGTTACCAGTTTTGCTATGGCTTCGGAAATGACGTCCTTCAACTTGATGTGGTGCAGTTTGTAATGTTTGGACAGTGCTTCAGCAATGCTGGATTTTCCCACAGCAGGAGGCCCGAGAATGCAAATCTTGATGGGCTGAAAGGAGAGAATAAGGTTCATGTAGCGAGCTCTGAACCATCTGTAGCCCGTGTTTTATGTTAGGGGTGTGCCTTCTTGAAAGTCTCCGGATCGGATCCTGCAGGCTAACTCTCGCGCCTCCCTCAAGACTCCAGAGTCACTTCCTCCAGGTACTTAATGAGCAGCTACTATGTGCACGGACCTGGGCATGGCAGGGATACCACACTCAACAAGAGGTGCTCAGGGATACCTCCAAAGTACTAAAAAGCAGTGTTCGGGTATTACATGCTAACAGTTTCACGCTTACTGTGTTACTCCTGTAAAGATACCAAAGAAAGAGAAGAATCTCTGGTCCGGTGTAGAGGGTGCTTAATTTGTTGCCTCAGGAATATTGTTTCTGGACTGAACTTTGTCTTTAATTATACTTTCCTTTATAACACAGTTAATTTATTCCAGTTTTTAAAAATATAAATTTTTTTTTTTTTAAAAGCCACCATTTCTTCTGCTGAAAAACTTGCTTGAATGCAAAAGAAGCTCGGTCATCTTCATAATCAGTGAGTCAATGTCTACTTCTAACAGAAATAAAAATATCAGTAACAAACAGCCATATCTTTCAATGTGGTCCAAACAGTGGGGAAACTGAGAGGTCTAGTATTTTGCAAGACAAATTTTAAAATTTAAAAAAAGTTTTTAAAAATCATGCCAATGCAAAGGATTTCCATTGGCAGAGTGCCCGTATGATTAAAGATTACATAATTTCATCCACGAAGTTGGCTATTGGTATTATGACTACCATTTGTCAGGCGAGGACACCAAGGCTGGGAAGGAAACAGGTAGGGACGTTGCAGTGGTGCTGGGCGAGGAGTGGTTCCTCACATGACTGGTTCCACTGGATTAGGGACAGACACTTTCAGGGGGATGGGAACCTCCAAGATGGCAAGGAGTGGAGGGAGCAGGTGTCAGGAAAGCAACTCTGGAGCTGAGTCTGGATGGGCAGGGCTGGGCTGCTAGGTGGCCTTGGTGAATGCTGAGGTCCAGCTGTCAACTGAACAGGTTCACATGCCTCGTGCTATCCACACACCAAGGGCGGATCTGTCTCCTGGGATAGGCTCGCCTCATCCACGTACAGAACCAGAATGCCAGCTTGTTCACTTATAATGAGAAGGATGACTGCCAGGGAACTCAGCACAGTCCAAGCGCACACGTCTGGGACATTTACTCCCTGAGGGCAGGCGGGCATGGAGGGTTGCTGATGGGCTTTGATCAGAATGAGGAGAGCTAGATGAACGGATGTGTAGCGGCATCAGGTCAAAGTGGCTTGATGCATCTGTCTCTGAGACAGGGACAACTTTGCTTTGCTAAAGCAACTGGGATGGTGGAAGCCCTAGGCTCAAGGCTCCATCTTTTTGGATGTTGCTGGTATGTCACTATCTACACTGCCCTCAGGAGTGTTTCCTGTTCTATGCTACTATGCTGACCAGTGCCCCGAGAGATGGATAGACTGTTTAATTTTTACACATGCTTAGTCTTTCCTTATTCCTTCTAGCATGTTCTATCCCATCTTGTTAATCAGGAACCATATGGTCTCTTTTTTTTTTTTTAAGATTTTATTTTTCCTTTTTCTCCCAAAGCCCCCTGGTGCATAGTTGTGTATTTCTAGTTGTGGGTCCTTCTAGTTGTGGCATGTGGGACGCCACTTAAGCATGGCTTGATGAGCAGTGCCATGTCCGCGCCCAGGATTCGAACTGACGAAACCCTGGGCTGCCGAAGCAGAGCGTGCAAACCTAACCACTAGGCCACGGGGCCAGACCCAGGAACCATATGGTCTCTTTAAGGCGTCTTGTCTTATCTCTACCCTAACTGTGGGTTGTTTTACAGTTGGCCCCCAGAGGACAATAGCAGTCTACCCTCCTGAGTTGGGGTGATGTATGCCCTAGGGTAGTCTCCAAGAACAACCACCACAGGTATCTCAGATGCTTAAAGGGGTCATTGTTCCTTTTGCTAAGCGGTACATCTTCTACTTATTTTTAGTGAGTAAAACGTTTTTCAGGAGAACCTGGTTCTGAGGATATAATGGCGACACTGTACCTGCTTGTATGGAGTGTTCCCATGCTCAAGGGTAATTACGTTTATGACGCACCTATTACTCATATCTTACTCTACAGTTTTCAAAAGACTTTCTCACATGTTATCCACTTCCATCCTAGGAACGCTTTCCTTGGGTAAATCCAAAGATCTGGGCAAGCGTGCATTTCGCTGATTTCGGAGAGGGGTGCAGTGGCTCTGCAGTTAGGCCCTTCTGGTTAAGTTTGCACCCTAGCTAGTTTGACTCCCTGACTAGCTGTGTGACCTTGAAGGCTAAGGTCACATCTTTCTGAGACTTCCTACCTAAGAATTCCTACCTTGAAAAGTTGTGATCGAGCTTACTATCATATTGTATTTGTGTCAAGCATAACAGTTATTATCTATGTTAACTTTAAAATTTTTAATACAGTTATGAGTTGCTTAACAATGGGGATACATTCAGAGAAACGCGTCGTTAGGTGATTTCATCATTGTGTGAACATGATAGAGTGCACTTACACAAACCTAGATGGTACAGCCCACTACACACCTAAGCTGTATGGTGCCAACCATGGGACCACCATTATATATGCAGTCCGTTGTTGACCGTAATGTCATCATGTGGCACATGGCTGTATTTGATTGACAAGTATTAACATAATATACATGTGGATTGTTAGACCTGGACAAATGGGTCAAATCTGAAAAAGAACTTGAATTTAGAAATTTGAAAAAGAAAGTTCTTCCGCTGGTATAATTATACTAAAAGTTTCACTTACTTTGTCTAAATTAGAAGCTTAAACAGGAAATGGTTATACTTACCAATAATCCTCTGCTTTGCTTGTACTCTTTGAGGATATTGTTGATATTTTCCACAAATCCTGTTTGGGCAACCCATCGAATGTTAAAATTCTCCTTCACAAGGAGTGCTTCCATTCTCAAGTGGACCAGTAAATGGTCAAGACACTCTTGCTAAGAGATAAAGGAATAGCAGTGATTTGTCTTTTTTCCCCTTCATTTTTATGGTTATAACAGACCAAAATCCACTGCAGTTATTAAAGAAAAAATACATACATTCACAAAACAGGAAAGTCAACTAATCCGGTACTAAGCATGGACAGAGCACCCACTGGGATACACTGTGACACTTCTAAACTCACCCCACAGCCACTTCCTCACGACAGTAGCAACCTGGTTCTCATCATTAGACATGCAGCTCAAAGAAGAGGAATATACTGGAAGTCTAAGTATGGGTTTCTGTATACAAAATTTTAATTGTATCTACTTTTTGAATAGTGTAATCTCGTGGTTCAAAATCCAAAGGAACAAAAAGTATAGAGGAAAACGCTCCCTTTGACTGCCATCGCTACCCACCAGTTCTGCTTCTCAGAGGCAACCAATGACATCACTCCTTTCAGAAACGTTCGCAAACGCACTGTTTTGATGCAATTTATTCCTAAAAAGAATTCCATCCCAAAGCAAGCTCGAATAGCCCACTGCATGACAAAAACTACTGGTTTTTGCTGTAACAGAATCAGAATCTCAACCTCTCGTTTAAATTTTAGAAAGAGGTCAAGAGAATACACCCAGTGTTTGTACAGCATTTTACATATTAAACAGCTTTCAATACATTTTCAACCAAGACCTCTGAGGGTCTTTCAGAAAAGAAAACAGGCTCAGGCTGCAGAAGAGAAGAGTAAGCTGCTTGAGGTTAGACATCTAGTTACAAAGGAGGAGCTGAAGGTGAGCTTGGAAGCCAGGTATTCCGGCCCCAAATCTCTCAAGAACCAAAACATTTAGGAAAGCAGCAGAAAAAAGAATCTCTAATATACTAACTGTTAAGTCCTTGGTTAGGAAAGCATTTTCTTTGGGTATTTTCTGGATTTTCCCAGGGCCAGTACTTTTACTGATGCACTGTTAGAGAAAAATAGAAATGTTATTTGGTTTACTTGTAAGATTTTACTATAAAATTTCTCAAAGGAATGTAAACATAACTGAATACAAAAGAAAATTTGCAAAGTAGAGGGGAGTGCACTGAGGGTATTCACTGGTTTATTTGTTCAGTGCACATTTAAGGATCACCACGGCATGCCAGGGCCTGGAGAGAGGAGAAAGGTCTCATCCCTGGCCTCCAGGAGCTCCCAGTCTGAAAAGGGAGACAGATGCATGTACACAGAACTGTAAGGTCTGCAGCTCAGCAAAGGGGATGCTGGGAGTACAGGAGAGAGGTGACCGGCCTGTGCGGGAGGGGGGCGGGAGGTGGGAAGGAGGCAGGGAGGGTGCAGAGGAAGGTATCTGAGCTGAATCTTAAAGACAGCGGGAGTGGCCGGGGGAAGGGCCCAAGAAGGCTGCACTCACCAGGTAGCTGGGCTACAGGTGACAGGTGGCTTTAGCCAGAGTGGCCTGGACTGGAGAGGGAGCCCTCACAGGCCTGGAGTTCCTGGAAGCCGCCAGTAGCTCTGGTGAACCTGACCATATCAAAACTTGGGGGCAAGTGTCCACAGCCACATTGTAGGATCCCGGTGTGTGATGTGTGTGTGTCTGAGCCCTACAGTGGCCTTTCCTGCCCCGCTCTGTGCATATCCTGGAGAAAGGCCATTTTGGGTTGTAATTTCCCAACACATCCTGCAAAGTGCAGATAGCGAGTTTGGTTTTAAGGATATTCTGTTTGAGGAGTCCCCCGTCTCATGAGCACTCCTGATTCCATAACTATAGTTTGCGGGGGCAAAACAATTTAAGAAATGCCGTCAAGTCTGGGATGAAACAGCGGTACCTTGACAAAGTCTTCCAGGGTATGAACAGATTCGTCCACAGCAACCAGGTAACGAACCTTCGGCACGTGGTCTATGACGTTCTGTATCACACTGCAGATCGACAGGGACAATCACCACCGGAGAGGAAAAGCAGAAGAGAGGCAGTGAACTGAATTCCCTGACCAGCACCCTGGGGGGGCAGGCACGGTGCCTGGTGCTTTAGGAAGTTATCTCAGTCCTCCTCCGACAAGGCCAGGGCTGGGATGATGGGCCGCCCTCTGCAGATGAGGAAGCTGCTCAAGAGTTAAGTGACGTTTCTTGGGTGGAGGAGTTATTGGGAAAGTCAAAGCCAGATCCATCTGGCTCCACATTTGTCTAGTGTACTGCACAGGGGACCTGACCTCCAACAGGGCTTCAGTTTGTCGACACAAATAATCCATAATCAATCTATAATTCAAAATTTATTATGAGCCAAATCTGAGGACTAGCCCGGGGTCTTCCTTCCCCAAGGAAGGAAGGGCACCAGAGAAGTGGGGTGTACAGAATGGTTATATACCATCTTGGAACAAAGAGCACGCATCACCTATGACAGGAATGTCCCTTTTACAGTAGTCACGAGATTGCTTTGTTGGCACAGCAGATTGGTGGACAAAGATCAGTGGTCACAAGGTGAGCACAGCAGGTCAGTAATTAATGCTTAGTTTAGGGAGAGATGTTATCCTAAAGGAAATGCTGATACGGGGGAGGTTACACCCCTATCTTTAGGGGCATCCTTCTTGTCTTTGGGACACAGTAAGTATTTAAAGCAGATGTATAGTTGGCCTCGTGGCGCAGCGGTTAAGTTTGCACATTCCGCTCCTCGGCGGCCCAGGGTGTGCTGGTTCGGATCCCGGGTGTGGACATGGCACCCCTTGTCAAGCCATGCTGTGGTAGGCATCCCACATATAAAGGAGAGGAAGATGGGCACCGATGTTAGCTCAGGGCCAGTCTTCTTCAGCAAAAAGAGGAGGATTGGCAGCAGATGTTAGCTCAGGGCTAATCTTCCTCAAAAAAATAAAAAAATAAAAATAAAAATACAACAGATGTACAATGCATGCTCAACAGGTCACATCAGGCCCTTTTGGAAAAACAAGATCAGGCCAAATTAGTTTGAAAACAAATGGCTTCCTCATATACTCCAATATATCCTACTGATTGTCATTTGTTTATCAAGTTTATGAAGTCTGTCCACCAGAGGCTCGTTTATGTCTCACAACAGTGCTTTGGGGCAGGTGTTTCACAAAGTAAGACGCAGATTCAGAGAAGCCATGGCTCTGTCAAGGGACCGTGCAGGGAGGGGACCTGAGGTTTCCCACCCTGGAGTAACAACGATTACCAACATGTCTGAGTGCTTAACTCTGTGTGGGGACCGTGCTAAGGGCTTTGCAGGTGTTATCCCATTGAATTTCCACAACCACCCCATCAGGTAGGTACTGTTGTTATCCTCATCTTACAAATGAGAAAATCGGACAGAGAGGTTAAGCAACTTACCCAAATTCACACAGCCAGCAAGAGACAGAGCACGGATTTGAATACACATGAAAGAATTCCAGAGAGAAACAATAATGACAAGAAGTCTATCATGAGGACTGTCAACTCTACCTCCATTTTAGCTTCCTTCTCAGCAAAATGAAAATAAAACAAATGTACACATCTAAATGTCCATTTATCATTTAATTTATTTTAATTTCTCAGAACATTTCAATTTTTTTGCTGCTTTCTTTGTTAAATATTTGACAATCTTCAAAGAAACCTGTAGGAAAAAATGCTACCGAGAGGGGCCCTGGGTCCTTCTGAAAGGGAATAACTGAACTCTCTAATTTATCTGTTTGGAAGTAAGATGTTAAGGACCAGTGCTAAGTATTGTGTGTTAATAACGTGAAAGATTCGTTCACATCTTTGAAACCTGACAAGGTCATAATGTAAAGTCTCTGCAGAACAGAAGGGTGCATTTCGGCCCCCACGTCTGGGGTAGATGCTGCCTGGAGCAGGTCTAGGTTTCTGTGGAGTTCGAAGCTTATACAATTCAGGGGATCTTTCTTTAAGAAAAATTATAAAAATTTAAGTTTAGGGCCTTGGAAGAGACCCATGCAGGTGAAAGGTCCTGAAGTTTAAGCTTTATTGTTCCCCAGTAAATCTGTCAATCTGCCTGGGGTTGTGACTAATTTACTAGAGGCCAGTGGATGAGAGGAAGAGTGGGATCTAGAAGCCAGAATCTCAGGGAAGAGCTGAAACTGCTTCCCCGCAGGGGATGAGTGGTTGAATGAAGCCCCGGGAACGGGTCGCGTAGAGCTGACAACCACAAATAAAGAGAAGCATCTCTTGGACCTAGTGTTTGAGGCAGCGTCTGCAAAGGAGAAAGGGTCTCCGGACCTGTCTGGAGCACAGAGCTGGGATAATCTACGAGCGTGAAAGAGATGTGTTAACTTTACCTACAACTGCCCAAAAAACCTTCAGGTTTAGAGCTCGCCATCTCATTTCTGGAATTTAAGTTGGTGAGCTGGACATATCAATCTCATTTAGGACAGAGGAATAAGAAACTAGGTCCCCAGGACTCACGTAACAAATTCTTTTCCAAAATTGGAAGACATGCTACTCTGCTAAAGCTGATAAACTTTCTAAAAGATGAACCTGAACTTATCATCAGAAGTGGAGATTTTAGATGATGGACGCTATCTCATCAGATGCAAAAGAGAGACAATCACAGTACCTTCTGCATAGGGTAGTTGTGAAGAACAAACACAGTAATATATGTAAGGGTCTCGGCACTTGGAAAGTGCTCAATAAATGTCATTAATCAATTCATTCTAGAAAGTCCCATCTCCGGGAGAATGCTTACCCTGCTAGATCAAGAACATGAATTGCTGGAATCACGTTTGTTCCATCGCCAAAAACTGGTAATGCAGGAACGTCACCCAACCAAGCTATCTAAAAGAAAGAAAAGCAGAAGCATGTTTTCCCCAGTCATATGTGTCTGACTACTACAGCTCACATCCAGGGCCATAGATCCATCTATCTGACGAAGTCATCGCCTGTAGGAGATGCTCTGTAAATCAGTCCTGAGGAGATTTAGTTGCCCATCCAATTCTATTATGAGAAATAAAGGGTAACCTCGGTCTGAAATGCTTTTCAAGAAATCTATAATCTCATCAGCTATCTCTAGGCGTCATCGGCATGTTATCTACACAGAGAGAAAATGCTTTCATATGCCTGATGTCTTTAATTCTCGCAAAATCAAATTCTCACAGAATTAAATTAAATTTTAAAATTATCCCCACTGGCAGTGGGTAATGATCATCAGTTTATGGATGAAATGCTTAGTAGATAAAGTACCCCGTGGGAGGTTGCATTTCTACTAAATCCCTGAGTCTGGATTTGAACTCTGATCTTCAGAGTCCAGATCCTTGTCTTTTCCCTTCATTAAGTATTTCAGTAAATAAACTGACAGTCTGGATATTGTTAAACTGTCATGTACTAGATTATGTAAATTGCTTTTAAAGAGTGAAAGAGGTAGGGGTGGGGGCCAGAGCTGACCACTGAATCTTCTAAGATGTTTTGGACTGTGGGAAACCATTTAAGGGTTTTAAGCAGTGAAGTGACATCATTAGATTCGCTTTTGTCACCTTGTGAAGGATGATGGGAAGTAAGAGTCTTAATGGGGAGATGGAGGCCATGACAGCTGTGCGGAGAAGTGATGGTTTAGCCTAGCATGTGGGTGGGGAGTTGAGGCAGTGATGTTGGAGAGAAGGGAGATATTGAGGAGGCTAGTTCTATAGGACTTGGGGATTTTGTGATGGATGAGAAAGAGGGAGGAGTTGGGTTCCGGCTGGTGCAGCCGGCTGGAGGTGGTCCCAATTTCTGAGATGGGGCCCTGGAAGAGGAGCAGGTTTGAAGGTATCTGTAGGTATAGTTTGGATTTATGAAAGACATCCAAAGTGAAATGCTGCATAGGTAGCTGGATCTACAGAGCAAGAACACAGGAGAGAGAGCCCCACTGGAGACTTATGTTTGAGAGTCATTGGCACCAGTCATGGGTGTGAACAGTCCAAACCAGGAAAAGAGTATAGATGGGGAAGACAAGAGGCTCTAGGGCAGAGGCATGAGAATGTCAACATTCCATGGTCAGCTAGGTAAGGAGTTGCTGAGAATGGACAACGAGAAAGAGCTTTCTTTAGCTCACGCTCTTCAGCTATCATATCTCTTATACCAAAAAATCCAACCAACCAACCTTTTCTTGACTACACTTCTTCTAACTCCTGCCTTCTTTCTCTGCCCCACTTTACAGCAAAATTTCCTCAAATTTCTTCTCTACTCTCACCATCCCCACTTCCTCTCTTGCCATTTCCTCTTGAACCTACACACATCAGGCTTTTGTCCTACCCAGTTCCCAAAAAATCCCGTGCTCAATTCTCAGGTCTCACTTGACTTGATTATCTGCAGTATTTGACACAGCTGGTCATTCTTTCTTTTTAGAAACACTTTCTTCACTCAGCTTTTTCAACACTCTCCTCTTGTTTTTCCTCTTACCTCCCTGGGTGCCCCCCTTCTCAGCCTCCTGTCCTGGTTCCCTCCCATCTCCTTGTAATCTCCAAATATTGAAGTGTCCCAAGACTCAGCCCTCAGATCCATTCTCTTCTCCATATTTACTCTCTAGGCGATGTCATCCAATCCTTTGGCTTTAAATACAACACGTATCTGATGGCTCCAAAGATTCTCTCTCTAGTCTTGGCCACCTCCATGATCCTCAAATTCATATGTCCAACTCCCCACTCAGTATCTACACTTGGACGTCAGCCATCTCAAACCTAAAAAGTCTAAAACTGAACTTCCCACTGCATACCATGCCCTAACCTGTTCCCCATCTCAATAAATGGCAACTCCATACTTCCAGTTACTTAGACCAAAATCCCTATAGCTATCCTTTACTTTCTATCATCCTTACATCCAATCTTTGAACCAATCCCATTGAATCTACCTTCAAAGTATACCCCAAATCTGAACAATCTTCAGTATCTCCATCATTCCCACCCAGGTCTCAGGCACTACCCTCCTAACTAGTCTCCCTGCTTCTGCCCTTGCCCCACTACAATACATTCTCAACACAGCAGAAGATAGTTATTAAAACTTAAAGATTATGCCACTGCTGGGCTCAAAATAGTCTAATGGTTTCCCAAGCCACTAGAATAAAGCCAAAGTCTTCACAACAGGCTATAAGGCTGGGCTCGATCTGACTCCTCCATCACCTCTTTGACTCCCACACTTTAGCCACATTGGTCTTTTTGCTCTTCCTTCACACAGCCGGTACATTACTGCCTCAGTTCTTCACACTTAGAGTTCCCGCCGCCTTTCCCCAGAAAGCATATGAGCTAGCCCCCTCACGGCCTTTCACTTTCTGCTCAAATGTCGCATCATCAGAAAGGCCTTCCTCCACCGCCATATATAAGATAGAACCTCCCAACCCTACCCCTGGCACTTTCTCTCCACCTTTCTCTGCCTTGTTGTTTTCCATTTTACTTTTCAACATCTGAAATACTCTACATTCCCTGGCTAGTTTGTTTTCTATCCCTCGCTCTTCTCCACCCCTCTGGAATGTAAGCTCCAGAAGTGCAGGGACCTCATTATGCTATTGGATTTCCAGTCTCTACAGTGGATTCAGGCACGTGGCAGGCACTCGGGAAACATTTATCTCATGAATGAAAGGAGATTCATCTTTTTCTTTATGATTCTGAGAGTGGTGAATACAAGTTGCCAATAATGGGAAAGAAAAATAGGTGGTTATGGTCTACATCCATATGTTCCTTAAGCATCTGCTGTTCTACTGGCCTACCCACATCTAGAAGCAATCAAAAATATCTCCGAGTTGTATAACTTTACTGTAAAACACTTAAAAAAACTCCTCATAGTCACTGAAAAGTCATACCTTGAAAAAAGTATGTAAGATGCCTCCTTCCAGTCCATACTGAAGTCCAGCAGCAACTACGTAAGTCACGAATTTTTTGGCCTATTCAATAAAATACAGGGGAAAAGCTAAATGTAATAGTATCGATCATATTGAACCAGATTATTTTAGTGGTTAAAATGAGCACTTTAGGAAGTCTCATCACCCCATTCGGGTTGCTGAGGTATTGTTTAGGATAGAAATAGAATCCCTTAGAGGGGGAATCAACACCACCCGCACATCCAGGATGCCTCTGACCACTGTTAAAACTAATTGGGACCCTTAATTAAATGAAAGCCAGAGTTAATTATTTGTGAAGACTTAATGCGTCTAAGCACTATGCTGGGCCCCCAGGGGAAAAGGGAGATAGAAAAATCCGTCCTTCCATGATGATCTTTAATTACCAGTAGGGGAGGTGGACATACGTAAAACCAAGGAGTTTAGTAATGGGCCTTAATACAAGGATTTTAATTGACATAGAGTGTTCACTTCATCCAGGGGGAGTAATTTAGGGGCTGGGAGAATCTACATCGATGTTTAACTATTTTAAAAAGTCATCATGGGGCTGGCCTGGTGGCATAGTGGTTAAGTCTGTGCACTCCGCTTCAGCCACCTGGGGCTCGAAGGTTCGGATCCTGGGCGCAGAGCTACACACCACTCATCAAGCCATGCTGTGGCAGCATCCCACATACAAAATAGAGGAAATTGGCACAGATGTTAGCTCAGGGCCAATCTTCCTCACACACACACAAAAAAGTCATCAGGTACTAGCATCTACACTGTGGGGAAATGGGCTTTTTCGCATGTTGAAGAGCTTCAGGCAGAGGTAAGACTTAGCCATACCTGGGCATTGATTCTTCCGCTTTAACGCCCTCCTCCCTCATAACCCAATAACCATGTGGCTTCAATGGTGTTTAATTTAAAAATCTAGAGGGAGTTGGTGTAAAGGTTGGTGCAATTCTTTTCTGGTCTGCTGCTGTGAGGTCCAAGTATAGAAGGTGCAATGACCAACAGAGGTCTGTTTAGGTTCTATTAGACATTTGACTCACAGGCCACCAGAGGCCGCCTACTTCAGATCAGATTTTTTATCTTTGGTGAATGATATTGGAAATTGAATCTTATCTGAGGAAGTGACTTGTGAGTCTATGCTTGTGTGTGATTGATCTCTTCTTGCTAACCCATCATCCAATTAAAACACTGTAGTTGGCGTCAGAAGTAGAATTACGGATAAAGACCCGCCCCCCCACACCTTCACCACGATGACCAGATTTTGGAAGGTTAGATGTTGGTAAGTTGAAGAGATGAATGATGAACTGAGGATGGAGCTCAAGTCAAGTTGGAAACCCCATGGGATGAGAGAACTAGGCTCAATGAGTGGGGTTTTTGAGGAGTGACTCTATTGCTGTAATTGATCCACATTCCTCCACATCTACACCAGTGGGTGAGCCAGGCAGGGGCAAGGTGCCCCAGTTCCCTGGCTTTTCCTAACTGCACTAGGTAAAGTGACAACAGAAGACCCCGAAAGGGATGTGAAAAGCCTTTGGGCTTGAGGCCCAGCCAGATGGGCATGCAGTGGCTTTCCGGGAAGAAACGAGATAACTGCTGAGGTTTTAGAAGGAGGCAAGGGTGGGAGAGTGTTGCTGAGAGATGAGGAGGCTACAAACCCAGGGGAATAAAACAGAGGCCAAAGATTTTAAATGTGGGTGAGGGGAGGGCAAAAAAGTACTAAATGCTCTGTCTTGGCTCACCTTCCCCAATAAAATCGTTAAGGAGGAAACTGATTGCAGTTCAAAATTTTTAATTGTGAGTAACTCTGTTTTGGTATGTGCCGAATCTTTTCCCTTATGGCTTACTCTGAGCTGGGACTACAATTTGGACAAAGGCACTGGGAACTAAACTGGCTACGGGTGGGAACCAGATGTTTCTCACTTTATTTAAATGGATACATACAATTTCTGCTCTTACCAAGATAACGTGAAGGAGGGCCGCTGAGTGTTCTCTCCCTGGGAGCCCAGGGGCTGTTTTCTAGAAGTGGAGTAGAGGGCTTGAGAGAGGGATGGTATGGAGTGCTACGCCCCAAGGCAGTAACTTGTCCAAGCAGTTGCTTCCTATGACTTACATGGGCAATGAGGAATAAAATACTAGCATCTGCATAGTCAGCGTCTAAAGGGGAAGGCCAAAGTCTGGCAGGCTTGTTTGAATTTTGGTGAAACCATATCCCACATTTGGATATGTGGGGTTACAGGGCCATAAACACCAAGTTACGGGGAAGAAATTTATTTTTCTTTTCCGTAGTAAAGTTAACAAAAACCCCCAAATTGGGGATACATAGATTGAACATTTTAGTCTAATCAAGGTTACAGATATTTGTACTAGACCTTTCAATGATTATTCTCTACTTGCTTGAGAAGAAATCCCCTAAAAGTATAGCACTAACTGATGGATTATAGTGTTAAAAGATAAACTGAGGCATATTCAAACTTTTAAGAGTTTATTGGAGCAGAAATTGATTCAAATCGGTCGCATCCAATCTAGCCAATAGAAAGGAACCCTGACGAGCTGTACAAAATGAAAGACTTTCACAGGCAGAAAGGAGCAGGAACAAGGAAGTTATGCTAGACAAAAAAGCGAGCTGGTTATTGCAAAGTTACTTCCTTTTAGGGGATGGCGGGGTCCATCAGGCAGATTGCCTCTCATTAGGGCTGATCAGGTGATTCCTGATTGACTAGCTTGAGATTCCATTTCTGGGAGAGGTGAAACTGTGATTAAGTTAAATCTCAGTTTGGTAACGTGGGGCTTAGCATAAGTGACTCCATTTTGGGCCTGTTGTCTTCTGTGTGTAAATAAAACATAAACATACAATTGCAATTCCAATGTGTCATAATTCAGACACAGGTGTCTTTTATGAGTTGAGTCTTATGGGACCCATACAATGTAAAAACTATATGGCCAGCAGAAATTATTCTACATTAACTACTATTAAGTTGGAAAGTCTCTGATAATTTTTGGTGTTAACTCTCCATTGGCCTTTGATAATTCAGTCTAGCAAGTTACTGAGACCATGAATATTTGTATTTATGTAAAGATATAAAAAAAATGGTGTTAACCTCTAAAGCTGCCATTGACTAAAGATAAATAATAATACTGGCACTCGGGATCAATATTGTGATTTATAAGAAATATACACTTGACCTCCATCCCTGTTTCTGGCACAGAGCTTCTAAAACCCTTGGAATTTCCTAAGCAATGAGAATGATAAAGGTCTCTTTTGTTACATTAATAAGGTGACTTTTGGACCCTCACCTAAGGATGGGGGCCGGTTGCCAGAGGAGACAACCTGTGATTAGAGGAGTGGAACTTTCAGTGGCCCCCCCCTCCAGAGAGGGCAGAGAGTGAGCTCAATCCTCAATGGCCAATGATTTAATCAATCATGCCTATGTAACGAAGCCTCCATAAAAACCCAAAAGGCAAAGGTTCAGAGATCCGAGTTGGTGAACACGTGGAGATTTGGGAAGAGTGGCATGCTTGGAGACCATATGGAAGCTCCCTGCCTTTTCTCCATACCTAGCCCTATGCACCTCTTCGTCTGGCTGTTCCTGAGTTATATCCTTTTATAATAAACCAGTAACCTAGTAAGTAAAATGTTTCTCTGAGCTCTGTGAGCTGCTCTGGCAGATTAATTGAACAGGGGTCGTTGGAACCTCCAATCTATAGGCATTGGTCAGAAGTACAGGTGACAACCTGGGCTTGCTACTGGTATCTGAAGGGTGGGCAGTCTTGTAGGACAGAGCCCTTCACCTGTGGGATCTGATACCATCTCCAGGTAGATAGTGTCAGCATTGAGTTGAATGTAGGACACCTAGCTGGTGTCTAAGAATTGCTTGGTGTGGAAAACAGCCCCCTGCTCCCACACACACACATTGGAATTGGGTCCAGAACCTTTATAAGAAAAATGAAGTCCCTCTCTTCTGCTCCAGGTAATACAGTAGATTAAAAAGTCTAAAATTTATCCTACTACAAACACCTAGAAATGCCAAATAAAATGCCACCAGTACCCTTCTACGTATGGTAGAATTCTCAAGAAAATAAGAGACCCCCCCCAGGGGCCAAAAAATAGAGGAGTGAAAACAAAAGTGGTGGAGCTGACGGGGTGGCAGCCCTGGGAAGTCCATGGTCTCTTAATCTGGAGGATGGGTGAGTTTTTAAACCCATGTGGGTAGAGGAGACACAGCATTTGGTGTGGTGGGGTTTGGAGTTGGACCACAACAAAGAAGGATCCATTCATAACAAAAGAGTGAAGTAGAAAAAAAATCCACCCTGTGGCAGAGGGAGGCAACAAGAAAACATGTCAAACCCAGACAGGGTTCTGGAAGGAGAAAAGAAAGCTCCTTTGAGACTTCTAACCTTGGCCTTGGCCTTCTCAAGCGTTTGTCTTTCAAATTTAAATTACCTGCTTAATCCAGGGATCCGAGAGCCAAAAACTTAACACCTGGCAACTTTATAAAGGCACATACAAGGTCCCCCCACTCCCTGGAAGGACCTTTCCCGTCCTTTAAAGCCCCAGTAAAGGGATACCAGCTGGGACGGGGGTGGTAACTTCACAGTAACAGACGGGTGCTGATTCGAGATCACGGTTGTGCCCATTACAAACTGCAAGGTGCATTCTCAGTGTGAACTCTCATTTCTTACTGACCGCCATGAATCTGGAAGGTGCCTGATGCATCAATAAACTTGAGACTCTGATGGCAGCACTTTGGGAAGACAGACGGACGGTGCACCGGCCCACTTTTTCCTAAGAACTCATTTACATGAGGTTTTTAGGGGGGATGGTGAGCTATAAAGAAATAGATGCTGACAATTTAAAGAGCTGCTATTTTTTAAAAAATCCATGTTAAATTACAGGTCTATGTTTAAATTGGAGTTTTATAAATCACAAGAAACTACATTCATTGAAAGAAACTTTAGTTTTTTTTGTAATTACAAAAACTTACTGAAGATGAACTCATAAACCAAAATTACAAAATGTATGAGGGAACAATGCACCACGAGCGAAATGAGACTTG